CTCTCTCTCTCTCTCTCTCTCTCTCTCTCTCTCTCTCTCTCTCTCTCTCTCTCTCAGACACACACACTTTCTCTCTCTCACATTCTCTCCACTCACTCTCCACTCACATCAAGCATACCTCATGCACATCCCACTCACTCTCCACTCGCTCTCTCGCCTTTCTCTTGCCCCAGTCTTTTTTATTGTTACTCCAAAAGCAGGTAGAAAAAAAGACATTGATAATCATTGCCAAGTCAAATTCAAAAGAATAACTACATCCCACAAAGAATTAAGAATTACAATTATTCCCCAAAGTTTTAAGCTTCCCCTATTCCCAGGCCTGGGGCCAAAATAATAATTGCAAACTTATCATTATTTAAGCTTTAGCTTTGACTTATTATACTTCAGAGCTCAGAACTCTTGAGGTCAGCCACTTGTACTTTCCTGTAAAGCTCTAATGATAAATGACACGGGCAAAGCTGCCAGGCAGTGGCCAGAAAGAATCAAGTTAACCCTTCACTCAATACTTCCGCTAGCTTTGTGCTTCTGCACATTGCACACAATGACTCACATAAGAGTCCCAGTGTTTTGACTTAATTTTACTCATATATAATTTTATGTATTCTATACTTGTTTATCCAGGAACCACTCTCAAATGTTATACAAAACTTACTTCATAACTTCAGTAGTTCCTATTTCATTTTCTAGTAATTTCTTCAAACTTTCTTTGCAAGTCAAACAATCTGGAACTACCATTGTGCAGTTATTACATTGTTTCCAAGATGAGAACACACAACATGCACCTGGGCCATTAGGACTGTGCTGTGCTATGCCCCTATGCCTCAGTTTTTAATTGTTTAAGAATCCTTATATGAAGGAACGTCTAGTTTCACAGAATTCACCAGAGCAGAAGGAGAAATAGGAAAATAGATATAATAGAATAATTGTGCACACCAAGGCCAACTGAAAAGCAGTCATGCACAAATGAAATCTATACAGCCACTGTGCAGGGTTAAGGTTAAGAGAAATGGGAAGAACTCTTTTTTACAAAGAGCTGACACAGGCTACTGAAATGTCTCTATCCCGGCCTGCTGCAAGCAGTCCCCATCATGGTATGCTGTCCCTAGCAGCAAAGTTTTATCAAGAATGGAATTCTAGCCCTATATATTTCCCAGCACAAAAGCTTCTTCAAAGGTTCCACATCATTCCTCAGCCTACTCTTGGCTGAGCAAGGGCGTCTGAGATAGTGAGCCTGTGTGTAGGGTGCTGTTCTAAACACTCTTCCTGCCCTTAAGGGGCAGTGATAGTTTGTCTGGGAGTCGAGCCAAACGTACTACAGCACAGATGAGAATGCATATGCAAGCACAGTACAAGTACTTTTCTGGCATTGTCCAGCTTTTCTTAATTATGGTTCACAGATTACTTGCATTAGTCAAATGGATTAGAGATTGCTTGCATGCCTTAAAATGCAGGATCCTGGGCCTTAGTCCCATCTCTCTCAATGCTCTGGGGTGAGCCCAGAATCAGCATGTTGACCACCCAAGTAATGCTGACACATATAACGGTGGATAAATGCACATGTCAGAGACAGTGATTGTGAAATTCTCTTGATGTTTTTCTGTGTTATCTCAGAAGCATACACTAACTACCTTTCTGTGAACTTACACCAGGTGGGTTACTGTTTTTTTTTTCAGATTTAATAATTCCATGTATGATTGACACTTATCTTTTCTCATTCCAGGTATGCAGAGACACATCAGGTATATGCTCTCGTATTGGTGTCTGCATACACATCAGACTTGGGAGATGAAAATGAGCGCGCAAGTGGTAAGTCTTTAGAAAGAGAGCCGTTCCCTAAACACAGCATAGACTGTTCAAGTTACAAAATAGTTATTCTCTCTCAACCCTAAAAGTATAAATAGTAAGTGGGAGACTTTTTATTTACCTTTAGATGTGAGGTAGATCTCTTTTCCTACCTTAAGTCTAGAATGAGTCCCAGGACCTGGTTTTATTTTAACCTTTTACTTTGTTAAGTCAGTATGGTATCAAGCCCTACAGAGACAAAACCCAAAGAACTTCTCTGAACTTGGGTCTCTGGTCCTTTGCATCTCTCTGTGATATTTTCCAATGTCAAGGCTGACGATTCATGCATATTGATAGGCTTTTCCCCTTCTACAGGGTACTTCAGCCGCCCCTGGCAGTGGGAGAAGATCAAGGCCAACTGCCCTCACATTGTACAGTTTGGCTCTACTGATGATCCCTTTCTTCCCTGGAAGGAACAACAAGAAGTGGCAGATAGGCTGGATGCCAAATTGTATAAATTCACTGACCGTGGTCACTTTCAGAACACAGAGTTCCATGAACTGATTAGTGTGGTGAAGTCTATGCTGAAAGTACCAGAATAGTCAGGATGACTCCTGCTCTGTAACAAGCCAGGATGGGGAAGAATAATAATAGCAACTATTCTCACACAGCACTACACGTGAAATGTGTAGTTAAGCTACAAAGTGCCTGAACAACAAACCTATGAACACTCACACTAAGTTACTAGCACTTTGAGTTCCCACAGAATTTAAATCTTCCTGAAAAGCTACTAACTACAGCAGTATGTTTCCTGTTTGATAAGGGACAGAGTTTGTTTAGCTATCTTGTTGATGCAAAGAGAGTTAAGTCAGAAGAATCCAAAACTTGACACAGACATGGTGGTGTGTCCCTGTATTCACAGCCCTTCAGAGAAAGAAGGGAATCGGAGGGGAAGGCTAGCTTGACCCTGTCTCAGAAAACAAAGAGCAAGACGACAACCCAGGTCTCCTGAGTCTCATTCCAAATTATAACTCAATAGGCTTAGCAAGATGTGATCCACTTCTGAGACCCAGCACTTAGAAAGGGGAAGAAGGTGGATCTTGAGCTGAGGCCTGTCTAGGCCCAATAAAGTAAAACCCTGTCTCAAAACAAAAGACTGGTTTTCATTCAAATTATATGAGTGATAATTACTCCTTTTTGAAATAGTTTTTCTCTTACCAGGGGAAAGAAAACATGATTCAAGATTGAGAATGTTATCTTAGAACTCAAAACTCTAGCTGTTCTTTATTAGCTCAAGAGAGTAAACTTGGGTCTTCATCACTGAAATTCCTGACCCCACCACATCCCCAGGTCCTTCTGACAATTTGAGAGAGACCAACATAGACGGATGCTGAGTAAGGGAGCTGCAGGGGACAGATAGCTGCATAGCCTGTCACCTGTATATCAACTGTATTGGACTGGCAGGATTAGGTCATGGGGGAGTACTGCAATAAAGAAGCGTGACAAGTACTCATGTCCTTTTGTTAACTGGGGAAATATATATGTATGTATATACAATCCCTACATGAATTATGGCAGCTGAAAACAGCATTGTAATTAAAAGATTTGCAAATGCTATAAGATAAAGACCAAGTTGGTTGTAAAAATTTTAGATTTTCTATGAAGTTGAAGAAAAACCTAAGATAAGCAAAATGAACATAATACTAAAGGGTGGAAAACAAGGGAACAATCTGTACTTTGTTGTTAAGTTTTAACTATCTTCAGAAGAACTTTTCTGGGGCTGGAGAGATGGCTCAGCAGTTGAGAGCAGTGACTTTTTCCAGAAGTCCTGAGTTCAATTCCCAGAAACCATATGGTAGCTCCCAACCATCTGTAATGGGATCCAATGCCCTCTTCTGGTAAGTCTCAAGAGATAGTGTACTCACATACATAAAATAAATAAATAAATCTTTATTAAAAAACAAAACAAAACAAAAAAAAAACAAACACAACCTTTTCCACAAAGCAATGAATTCCATAGAGTTCAACCTCTTGTAGACAGCATGCAAGCAAACTGCCAATTTTTCTTACACTCACTCAAAAGTAACCACTTTTTAAAGCTACTTTTTATATTGTATATATTTGATATATAAAATTGTTTCATGATTACATTTTTGCTGGTTTATATAGTACTTTGACCATAGTAAAATAAAATGTTTATTTCCCAGTATCTTCTGACTGTTGTGGTGCCAAAGATATCTAGTGCACTTATACCTGATGACACAGAACCTGTGACTGATGAAGAAATGTGATTCTCCACACTTTTACGCTAGAAGGGGTACAAAGCTGTTGTGTTAGCCTAAGATGATTTGGGGATTTCTAAAGTCAGTAATGACTTTAACTTTTAACAATAGGTATCTTTGGAGGATAGGAAAACAATTATATATATAGGTCTACTGTAAGTGTTCACATGGAAATGAATAATACCAGAAACAGTTATATATTAAATGAATATATTTCTATCTTGCAGCAGAAAACAAATTGCAAACATTTATGTTAATTTTTTTAAAAATTCAAAAAAGCAGAGTAAATAATTACTAATCTCAAAATCAAGTAGACTCAAATTGGATTATAGGTTTGTTTATACACATACACATACACACACACACACACACACACACACACACACACACACACACAGGGGGAGGGTAACGAAAACATTTATTTTTTTGAATTTTTTCCCTAACTTTAAAAATCTTAATTATAAACTGACACATTTCAGTGTGAGATTCAACAGGGGTGGGGAATATGCAAGAGAGCTCTCTGTTGAGCTGTGCTGTCTAATATAAACAGTATGCACAGGCAGCTAAATAAAAACTTAGTTTTTAATCATTTGTGTCAAGGGCTGGCCAGCCATCTGGCCGAAGGCTGCTAGACTAAACACCAAATACAGAGTATTTCCATCATGATAGAAAATGCTATTTGTCCAGATGTTGTGGTGCCTATCTATAAACCCAGCAGGAACAAGGCAGAGGTAGGACTGAGTTCAAGATGCTGTCTTACTGGACCCCACTGCTATGGGGCACATTATTTTGTATTCATCTCTCACCAACTATATAGTAAATCTGAATCTTTTTTTCCCTTCACTGTTGAGCCAGAGGCCTCATCGTACCAGAAGTATTTTATCACTCTGTCCATCACAGAATTGAATTGTCTGACTACTTTGCAATTTTGATCACCACCAAAACCCTTATATAAAACTTACTTACTGCCAAATTGAAAGTTTAATGTGAGAGTCCACATTCAATAAAAACCACTCAATCATCTCATGATGTCTCCTTTTTTATGATCACTTTTAAACAAGGTCCTCAACAGATTAGTATGTGTGTTCCGGTGAACAAAATGCCTAATTATAAGTGGCCAAGTATGAAGAATCTGGGCTTCACCTGCAGTTTGATTTTGTGACATTATGATTTTGGAGATTCATAATTTCTTTTGATAGGTTATTCCTATAGAATTCATTTTATTTACAGAACAGTTGCTACATTTTCTAACTTACCTATCCCTCTCAGTTAATACTCTGAGTAAAAAATATGTTACAAGGCAAAATATTCGGAGTAAAATATAATGCTAAGGAAAAATATTTAAGCTCTTTATTCTAGTATGGAACATTTCTATCCACTGAGTGCTGATTTTAAAACTCATTATCTAATTATCAAGACAATGCAAAGCCAGGCATGGCTGCTAACTGCATGCCTGTAATCCCAGCACTTGGGAAGCTAAAGCAGGGTAAGTTCAATGGTAGCCTAGGCCATAAAGTAAATTCCAGGCCAGTGTGGAGTGGTGCTCTGATCTCAAACAAAACAAAAAAAGACAAAATGCAGAGCATATTTAGAAAATAGCTTGATTCTTTTATTGTTATTTTGTTTCTCAAGACAGGGTTTATGTAGCCCTGGCTGTCCTAGAACTAGCTGTGTAGACCAGGCTGGCCTCTACCTCAGGGATCTGTCTGCCTCTGCCTCCCAGGTGCTGGGATTTAAGGCCTTCTCCATTATACTAAGCTTACTTTGTGTCTAAGGGTTTTTGTTGTGGTGGGTTGTTTTTACTAAGTTTTTTATGTAAGCCAAAAGCATGAACCAACTGAAAGGGTTTGCACTCTACCATATTTTGCCAGTGCTCTAAGTGAATAGCATCATTAGTTACCCTGAGATATATAAGACCAGTAAAATCAAACTCACTAGCTCATTTTTATCAGATGAATTCTATGGCCAGCTCTATAGAATAAGCATTCAATGCCACCAGCTCTTTTTAAGTGCTAGGTTATATATAAAATGCAGGTTTTTCCTCCACTGGAGGGTAGCATAGGAACAATGTCCACTCTAACTTGATCTGCCTGACCTATCAAATTTTCTGTCTCTTACTAGAAAATTAAATATGTAGGAGAGTACAAAAGAGAAAAAGGGCCCAGTGGCAGTGGCACATGTCTTCAATCCCAGCCGTAGGGAGGTAGAGGGAGGCAGATCTCTGAGTTCAAGGCCAGCTTGGTCTACAGAGTTCCAGGACAGCCAGAGCTACATAGAGAAACCCTGTTTCAAAAAAAAAAAAAAAAAAAAAAAAAAGGCCAAACCACCCGAGATCCTTCAAAGGCATATATGGCCATCCTCTGTACAACGGCATGCCAATTAATGTTTCAAGCACCGAACAGCCGAGATTGACGAAGTCCACAGTGATAGCTGTCTGCTTAGACTTGTCACACCACACTCGTTTTTTTGAAGAATAAGAAAAAAGGGGACCAGCTGAGGACTGGTTCCCACCCCTCAGAGAGTGAATGAAGGGCAATGTTCTATTTTTACTTTTATATGTGAGACAGGGTCTCTCCCTATATAGCCCTGAATGTCCTGGAATTCACTATGTAGACGAGGCTGGCCTTGGACTCACCAAGATCTGTCTACCTCTGGAGTGCTGAGACTCAAAGAATGCATCACCATACCCAGCTAATTTTAAGTTTTAATTTTAAGATTAGATACTATCTAATAAAAGATTAGATACTATCTAGTCTGTCTGCTTTGACAGAACACTGTAGACTGATGGTTTATCAAGAAAATAATTTATCATGATTCTAAAAGCTGGGACAGGTGCTAGTAGATTACTTGGTCTGATGAAGGCTCGCTTCCTTATTCTTTTCCTGTGTTCTTCCATGACAGTAGGGTAATAGAACACTTTGGGTCTCTTCTATACACGCCCTAATTCCAATTCATGAGGATTCTACACTCATAGTGTCACCTTCCAAGGGGTCTCATTTATTACATTCCATATAGGGATATTAGACTATAAAATCTGAATTTGGCGCTGGTGGTAGAGAAAGTCACACTACAGGCATGGAATAAGAATCTGGAAAAAAATCCAATAAATAATACAATTAAAGCATAAGCATACAGAGAAAGTTACAGCCTTAATAGGAAAGGAACAGTGAGATTATTTCCTTTAGTATGGAATATCAGTGATGTGAAAATACGTCCTGGATAACAGCATTTGGGAGTGAGGTCAGTATGGAGGCGCACTCCTCTGAAAGAGTCCTACTGGGGTGAAGAGGAACAGATGGCGTGGAAAGGAATGCCCACGCTACCACTCCGCCCCAAGATGGCACACAGTCCCATCATCAGCTGTTCCTGCCTGCACCACTTGTAATTTCTTCTCAACAAAACCCAAGAAAAACCAAACAGAAATGGAGGTAATAAACCCAATGGGTTTTCAGTGAAGTAACTCAAGTGAAACATCTTCTCACTCCAGCCTTTATCTCAGTACTTGGTCAACATAGGTTTGCTGGCTTCTTTTCCTTGTCTTCCAGACTTTCAAGGTATTTTACTTACCGAAGAAGAGACTTCCCAATTAAACTTTATTAAACTTAACCTGCTTTGTGTGCTGTCTTCATAAATAAATGTTTTCATAGCAGCAAGTCAATATCCATTATTGTGAAGTATATTTTCAAAGAAATTTGACACTCCATCATGAATTATTTGCTCTCCAAGAAGTTCAGTTTGCCAAATGTAAATAAAGTTCATAGCTCTCTATTAAAATTCGAGCCACTCTGTCATGTAAATACAATTAGATGGTGAAATCTCACCACCTTCATGGCAGTCATCAAAAACCTTAAAAAAAGAAAACATAAAAAGTTTACATTCAAATTCAAGTTTTAAAATATCAAAACCCCACTGATTTAAAGCAGTATTAAAAGAAGAAAAAGAAAGAAAGAAAATACTCTTTGAAACAGATAATGACTTTATTGAAAAGCATACTGTAACAGTGGCTACTTTGTGGTCATGGTTAACTATAAGCTTTAGATTTTTGGTTTGTTTGGTTCTTTTGGGTTTTGTTTTTTAAGACAGGGTCTCATTATGTAATCCTGGCTGTCATGGAATTCACTATATAGAATAGGCAGGTTTCAAACTCAGAGATCCAACTGTCTCTGCCTCCCAAATGCTGGGACTAAGGTGCGCACAACCCTGCCTGGCTTGGAGGCATATAAACATAGCATAAAGATGAAGCCATTCGGTAAAAGGTTATTAGCCGGAGCATAGGAATGAAGGAAGTGAGCCCTTACTTATGGAAAACTTAATTTTTACTAAGTTGAAAAAATTCTGTGTTTAACTATCTTCAAAGGGTGCTAAGTAGAATTACCAGGATGGTGGCTTCTGTCTAGGAGTTGAAACTGAGTCACAAAAAACTTAGGGATACAGACAAAGGCTATCATAATGAATATGGCAGAGTAGCAAGCCCGCAAGTATAAATGCCACAGGATAGGAAGTGCCTTTTGCTCCCTGTAGCTTCAGGAATGATTGAGCAAAAATGCTGAGGCATACTGGGAAAAACCATATTTATTCTAAGAGATATTTTCTGTTTAAATTTAACTTTCTTCTTTTTCTTGGGGGAGGGCACTGGAGGATCAAATCTGGAGAAGAGAGGAGCTGTGTACACTGAGCATGCTCTGCCACTGAGCCACACCCACCCCTAAGTTCCTTCACTCTTTAGGGGAAAGAAAGAACACCACTAGCTCCAAACACACAGGAGGATTAGAATATGTTTGGTTCACAGTGGGTTTTCAACAAATCTCACTTCCTTCCCTACAGAGAAGAATGGTTGGTCTCAGTGAAAATGTATCCATTTCAGGCCCAAGAACAGAAGGGCATGTCCCTAGCCTGAGTGTTCGAAGAAAGAATGTAAGTCATTAACAATCTGTGAATCCATCAAGGGTCTAGGGGGAGGGACTGAATAGCTCATGTGACACTTACAGGTGGGAAGCCTGCTGTGCCTCTTGTTTCTTTATGGCATCTGCATATGATGGTGAAAAATACAACAGTGAAGCAGCTTTCACTTACGGGACAGAGTCCACAGGGTGCCCGGACCAAGCCTGTAGGTGGGAGGATTGGGTTGACTGCCCTGTACAGTTTCATGTGTCCATCTACACTGCCAACAGTGCCTTCCTTCGCAGCGATGATAGTCATCTCCACTTTGCCATCATAAATGAGTGTGTTCAGGATGGTTTCAATGTCCTCCATGGACAACTCTACCTAGAAAGGGGTATATAGAAAGCATGCATAAAGGACAAGGAAACATCCTTTCAGAGAAGGTATTACAAACAGCAAGTGGTCACAGCTTCTCAGTCAAGTGGAAAAGACATGCTCTAGGGAAGAGTAATGGAAGGCACAAATAGAGTGAATAACAGTCTACATGAACACAAACCACTGAGGACACACTGAGGACAGAAGTCTGGCTTCATGCTGAGCCTCACACTGATGTCATCATTCTTTAAAAGAAAAAAAAACCCACAAAGAAATCTCCCTCCCCAAGAATTTGATGGACATTCTTTAAATGTCTTCATAGAGAGACACTTGAGACATGAAATAACCTGAGTTCCTAATTTTTATCAGTGAGAAATCTGGGAATCAGGAACTGAAAATGACTTCTCCAAATGCCACTTTGGCTTCTTTGCAGACCATGAAAAGCATTTGTGTCCTTATGTAAAGGTCTTCAAGATGGTGTTACATTTGATTAAGTAAGAAAGTGTCAGTAAATCATACTAACACTATAACAAACTCGACTATTACACAGTCAAAAACTTAATAGAACATTCTCACTTTGGGTTAAATAGCACTGAGAAGAGTTCTCCATTGTCAGACACCATAAGGGCCTCTGCCTACTTTAGGACAGTGCTTTTCAAAGTGAGTTCAGAAGAATGTGTGCCTGAAAGGGCGGATGGATCAAACATACCAAAGCTACAGCCTTGTGTGGAAGACTAGACCATATAGACAAGGCAGAAATAAGCTCTGACCTTACTGATGCCCAGTTCACAGATGTACTTCCACACTTCATGTGATGAAGCAAATGAACTGTTTCTTTGTATCACTGGATTCTGTTTACTTTCTCTTGCTGTCTCTGCCTGTAAGATTAGAATAAAAGGCTCAAGCAAAAATGCATATTAGTGCTAAAGTTCTGTGCCACACCAACAGCAGCACATACGGTAAAAATTCCAAGTTTTAGGATTGTCGGTCTTCTAAGATACGATATACAAAAGTCAATCTCTCACAAAGCCACGCTTTAAAAGGACTTGTGGAGTTTCCTTAATGACCTCACCTTGCTTTGTAGGAATTTGAAACACTGTTGATTAAGCACCTCAACAAATTCAGATTCAAAATCCTGGTCACTGTACCAGGCTCCGCCAGTCACAGATCGGTCTGGCTGCAGGTTATAGAGCATATAAACCTTCTTTTTGGAAGCCTAGGAGAGAATATGCATATATCATTTCTTTATAAACTTTTCTAAGAACTAAGCTTGAGCAGTAAAGTTCAAATTTTAGACAGTTTTCAATATACAGAATTACCAGAAAGATAGCAGAGAGTTACTGAACTTGGGACTGTCCTCTAAAGTTAAGGACCATCTTCAAGGGGAACTGTACTGCAGCCAGCACTGTCCATGGTCTGCTGCTACGTATAGTACATCAGAAGCCTCAGAGAAAGGGAAGAGCACTGCTTCAGATACAGTATAGTATTTAAGCACATTTTCCTTTGCCTTTCGTTTTATGGACACCATTCATTTCTACAAGTACTTACTTAGGTCAGCCCCTATTCCTCTAACCCGTAATGGTGTGGTTTCCAAACTTCTGTCACAGTTATTTTAGTTTTTAAAATTACTTAATGTGTGTGGGTATTGGTGTATATCTGGGCTATTACCCACAAAGGGTAGAAGAGGGATGTCAGATTCCCTAGAACTGGAGGTGCAAGTGGTTGTGAGCTACCACGTAGGTGCTGAATCTGGTTCCTCTGGAAAAGTAGTCGGTGCTTCTAACTGCTGAGCCATATCCAACCACTAGTTTCTGCACTCCACTCTGGCATCCCCCTAATGTCTAAGTAACTTTTAAAATATTAAAAAACAATGCAGATGACTGGATATGGTAGAATACACCTGGAAATCCCATGACTCAGGTAGTGGTTAAGGCAGGAAAGACCCTGCATTTAAGACATTCAAGACCATCCCTGGTTGTATTATCGGACCTCTCTCTCAAAATAAAATAATAGAGTACAATTAAGATTACTGGGTGCATTGTCTATAGGTTTCAACACATGCTTAAGGCTTTTGTTTTATAGAACAGTTTGGCTGCCCTACAATATCTCCTGTGCTTCATCTATTCTATGTTCCCTAGACCTTACCCCTAAGACCAGCAAACATCTAACTTTTTACTGTCTTGCCCACAATTCGCACAATTCCACCTAGTTGGAATCTCAGTATCGCCTTGTCAATGTGATTTCTCACACCAAGTAGTAAGCAGTAAGAACACTCTAGGTCTTTACATTAGGTCATCTTTTTTTTAATCACTGAATATTCAAGATAGAGAGAGAAAAGGAAAAACACAAATCTGGCTCGGTGTAAGAGACACAGGCAGGGATCTTTCTCTGACTTGGTCATTAATGTACTCCAAGTGCAAAGCAGTACCTGTCATATTCCAATCAACAAACACTTGTTGAGTGAGACACTGTGCTAGGATGAACTGAGTTATGTCATACAACACAAAAACTAGGGAATGTACTCAAGGCTGCAGACTCTCTTTTCTGTAGAACACAGGACAAAGTTGGGAGTAAGCGAGAGAGACATCAAGAGTCCAGTAGTCAGCAGGTTAAAGTCAGCACAACAGGAGCTAAATTTTTATAGTCTTTTTAAAAAACAAAAAACAACAATAAAACCCCATTTGTCTTAAAATCCCACATAAATTAACGAATGAGGCTGAGCACACGGCTGGCATAGCTGCCTTAAGTGAACTACACGGTGGAACCCAGAAAGTCAACTACTCACTGCTACAGACTTCACAGCTTTAATAAGCTTTTTACTTTCCAAATTCTTGAGAATTTTGTTGATTTCTGTTAACGGCAAGTTACTTTTGTACCGAATATCTCTGCTCCATATTCCTGTAAGAAAGTAGGAAAGCTGATAGCACATCAATTAACACAAAGTTTTAGAAACTAAAGCCTAAAGAAACAAAACAAAACACTGGGATAAAGAAAGACTACAGTAATAAAGCCAGTGAGCCAGTAATAAAGTGTATTCTTTACATTCTAACTGAAAATTTCCTAGAATCTTGGTGTGGTTTTGTTTTGTTTGTTTGTTTTTATGAGAAGGCTTCACTATGTATCTGCTATAAAGGCCATGCTGGCCTTGAACTCAGAGGTCCACCTGCTTCTGCCTCCCCTAATACTAGAATAAAGGGGTGTATTGTGGGACTGTGAAAAGGATAGCTTGGTTTCTGGTGGAGCACTGGCTAGAGATGGCCAGAGACCCTGCGAGGACAGCATACATTTCGCCATGTTCCCAGACTCCAGGCTCCTGACACATGGTCTAAGACCTCCATTGATCCACGCCTTTCAGTCTACCAGCCCCTCCACACATAGAGGGCAAGACTACAGGCCTCAGCCTCAAGAGATTTCCATATTAATGAGATACCTGAAGGCCAGAGGGTGTCACCAATTAAGCATTCCTTCCCAGACCCTCCTCCCTCCTCCCTCCCTATTAAACTCAGGTCTGTCCTGAGAATGGGGGAGGGAAGAGGGGGATACAGCTCATCCACTTTCCGCCATGACAATAAACCTTTTAAAACCATGGACTTCCTCGTGTCTTTGGGGCCCCACCATAGGGAACCATGGAGAAGGCCTTTGACTAATGAGCAGCGGCCTAATCTCCCTCTGAGGACTTCTCTAGGTTCCCACTGTGGAGGCTGCCAATTCAATCAACTAGCTGAGCCTTGATTCTGCCAAGCAAGTGCTGAACCAAGAGTCTCAACCGGAGGGGGCACTGTCGGGGCTTCCCTCCCCCTCAGTCCTCTCGGCCGCGGGCCTCTCCAGCCCGCAAGGCCCCAGTCTCAACTGTTCCACGGCTCCCAACGGTGCCTGGAAGCCCAGGAGTTTGAGACCAGTCGATCCCCACAAACCTTCTTGTCCAGGGATTCCCATCCAAGAGCTCTGCCCCTGTGCCTCACGCCTGGGCGGAGCCCTGCAGAGCCCGCCCGTGTGGAGGGAACTCAGTCAAATTCCCGCACTTCTACTCTCCAGAGTCGAACTTCTCTCCAGAGTCATGGTTCCAGCCGACCACAACACCCCAACAGGACGCACGCCCACCCATGGGAGCTAACTGCCCCGCAGTGTATCACCATAAAGGACATTTTCTTAAAAAAAAAAAAAAAAGTATAAAACAAGAACATTTTCAGAAAAAAACAAACAAACAAAACCCATGAACACCGTTGAACTGGCTCACATCTCACCTCCTATCTAATCCTTTACCCTAATCTCAATTTTGTGAGAGTTTCACTTAAGACTGTAAGTGAAAAGGAACTTAAATTTGAATCAGGTTCATCTGCCATCTTCAACGATGGGGAAAAAAATACAAGAAATTTAGCTGCTTCAATACATTTACATCTATTACTTAAAACACATTCTACTTGTAAGGCAGAAAAAAATAAGGCAATGGTCCTTACATTCAGTAAATACCCACTGTGGGAAGTAATGAGTTTTCTTTCAAACAAACAAAGTTGTACATGAAGAAAGAGACTATGTATAAAACATATATGCTTAGCTGCATGTCATAGGACACGCCTGCAATCCCAGCCATCAGGAAGATGAGGCAAGAAGATCCTGAGTATGACAGCCTGGTCTACATGAAAGGACTCTCTCTTAAAAAATAAACAGAACACAGGGGCGGAGGTGGCGCACACCTTTAATCCCAGCACTTGGGAGGCGAAGGCAGGCGGATTTCTGAGTTCAAGGCCAGCCTGGTCTACAGAGTGAGTTCCAGGACAGCCAGGGCTACATAGAGAAACCCTGTCTCGAAAAACCAAAAATAAATAAATAAACAAACAGAACAATACAACACTTTCGGTCTGGGCCTAAAGATAACACCTCACCCTTCTCATGCTCACCTTTGTTCCCTGCATCCTCTATGATCTGGTAGACTAGTTTTTCCTGGTTATCGGACCCCTTCATTTTACTGCAGGGAATAAAGCAGAATTTAAAAAGGAAAAATTGTAGGCTGTGTTACCATCTGCGTGACTATGTAATTAGCAGACAAGGCTATCATACTGACTTATTTAGCGAAAGAAAGGCGTACCTTAAAAAGAATGAGACAGAGCTGTATGTACCAACATGATAAAATGTCCAAAATACAATAAATGAAAAAAACAAGTTACAGAACTATATAGATAGCATGATTTAGTCTTGTTAAAAAAAAAAAGGATAACATATAAATATAGAATTGTCTATGAATATTTAAATCTGTCTAGAAGACATTACCAAGAGCAGGTACTCTGGGAAATGGAAACAGAACAAAAGCAGGAATGGTATCAGTTTATATCAGTCTCTTCTGTTTTCTTACTTTGACGCAGGGTCTTTCAATGTATAGCCTAAATTGTCTTCAACCTCCTCATCATCCTGCCTCCGCACCCACGTGTCAGGACTATAGGTGTGTACCACATACCGAGCTACATTATGTACATACAGTCTCACATAGCTCAGACTGGCCCTGAACTTTCTGGCCTACTTCCCAAGTGCTGGGATATAGGTATGTGCCACAATACCTGTTACTATGTTAGCATTTTTTTAATATGTACATTTCTTTTGCAATAAACAAATTTTTCTAAAAATTAGAAAATAGGTGCTTACTTACCCAGCATTCTGAGAATCCTTTATTCTATATAAAAGGCCTGTATTACTCCTTAAAAGATCCAACTGACCCTAAAGTGTTTTAAAATAGAAAATCGTAGTCAATTACTCATATCAATTCTGATGGCAAGTGTTACTACAATTTTAAATGTGTTGATTATACACACTAAACTATTCTGCCTCCCATATTTGTCAGTTCTTCATCTGAAACTGAGGATTTTGCTTACACACCTCAAAGTATTTTTAAAAACTAATATAAAGATAGTTCAAGCTAGAGATACTAATAGTGTCCCACATACTAACTTGGCTTAGTTATTTGGCCAGGGTATAAATAAGTGTTTTAAAAATCTGTTGCACTTCTTAGCCAGTGGTGGTGGTGACACAAGCCTTTATTGCCAGAGCTCAGTAGGCAGAGGCAGGCAGATCTGAGTTTTAAGTCAGCCTAGTCTACAGAGTAAGTTCTTGGACAGCTAAGGCTATACAGAGAAGCTCTGTCTCAGGGGGAAAATTATGTTATTTCTTAATGTATACAGATATTTTGCTAGCATATATGTCTGTGCACCATGTGTATACAATGCTCATGGAGGCCAAAAGAGGGCACTGAATCCCTGGAATTGAAGTTACAGCCAGGTGCAGACCATCATATATATGAGTTCTGGAAATCAAACTCAGGCCTTTGTAAGAGTAAACGCTCTTAACCTGGGGGATGAGGTGACAGCTCAGCAATTAAGAGCACTAGGAGTTCTCACAGAGAAAGGACTGGGGTTCACTTCTCAATACCCATATGCAGCTTAAGACAGTCTGTAACTTCAGTTCCAGGAAATCAGTGCCCTCTTCAGGCCTTTGTGGGTACCAGGCATGCATGCAGTGAACAGATGCATGCAAAATACTCACACAAATTAAATAAAAATAAATCCTTTTTAAAAGTTGTTTTAGGATAATATATATAAATCTATATTGAAATCTAAGTAAGTCCAAATTATATAAAATATGGATAAATATAATTAAAAAGAATTTGTACTGATAAAAATTTAGTCCAGATAAAGTATAAATATGAATATTCAACAGCATACTAAGTTAAACTGTAGTTATTAATGACATTTACTAATATGTACAATTTAATTCTGTGATAGGAGAATTAGGCAAAAAGGTTAACCAATGAACAAAAGGTCTCTAGTGGTGGTATTTTATATAATGAAGCAAAGTAAGATAAATCAATGTTCTATCACGCTTTTGAACCTCCTTGAGTCTGGGCATCTAGAAAATCTAGGATGTATAGCACTGAACTTACAGCAGTTACAAGAACCTGTAACCAAGAAGAGGCTCTACTGAATGCTAACAATGTAAAATAGGTTTACTTACTGGAGAAACTGCAATGCCCTCCTTTCTTCACAATATGGCAACGTGAGATCACAAAACTCAATTCACAGGTTCCCTTCTGTCATTTATTCAGGCCATTGTTAGGATAGCTGGTTTGTTTGGTTTTTTGAAATTATTTTTATTTTTAATCGTATGTCTGCAAGAGCAGGTGCCTGGGGAGGCCAGTCCAGAGTCAGATACTCTGGAGTTGGAATTCCAGATGTGAGCTTCCTGACTGGAACTGAACCTGAGTCCTTTAGAAGAACAGCAAGTGCTTTTAACCACTGAGCCATCTCTCCAGTCCAGGATAGCTGTTTAAATGGACAATTTGTTTTTGAATTATAGGACTGAGGATGGAATATACTGTGCAAGCTAGGTGAATGTTCCACCACTCTAAACTCTTAAAGGGAAGCAAAGAGATGACTACAATACTATCTGGTTGGCATTAAAAGAGAAACAAGGGTGGATGCACACTCAGAGAAAAGACTGGCCCAACCTTGGGGCTCCAGGTATCTTCCTAGAAATAGCAGCAGAACTGAGTCCTGAAGGATAACAAAGAATCATTCTACACAGAAAAAGGAAGCCCAGAAATCACCAACTTCTCTTCTTTGGGTGAAAACAGAAGTCACTGGCCCACTGTTTGCTTTTTTATTAATAAAATTTTATCAGAAAAAAGCCACATCAACCTGTTTATGAATCACTGTTCATGGCTCATGACTGCTTCTTATTAAAATGACAAGTGATACAGTTGTGACAGAAACCAGATGGGCCACAAAAGTTATTTTATTTACTACTTCCTAGAGAAGTTTGTAAATTCTGAGCCACAAAGGTGAAGACAAAGGCTTAACAAAAGATTCGGCTATCCCCATAATCTCTGTATCTAGACCGTCGAGGTACAACACAAGGCTGGAAGTTTAAAAAAAAAAAAGAAAAAAAGAAAAAAAAACAGTCATTCAGAAGAGACCTAGTGTAAGACTCTTAACTAATAAAACCAAACATCCTCAGGAAAAAGGGAATATAACAGCTTGTGAAAGGAGAGAGACATAGGAGACTTAAAGCATCGAACAGTATGTGGTGGGACATTTTTCGGTGGTGGCGCACACCTTTAATCTCAGCACTTGGGAGGCAGAGACAGGCAGATTTCTGAGTTCGAGGCCAGCCTGGTCTACAGAGTGAGTTCCAGAACAGCCAGAACTACACAGAGAAACCCTGTCTCAAAAAGGAAAAAAAAAAAAAAAAAAAAGTTGGAAGAGAGGCATGTGGGCTCCAGGTTCTTGGGCTGCAATCAAAACTCTACTGTACTGTCTCTGAAGCTGAGGCTGTACTTCTTCCCAAAGACCCTCCGTGGGACTTCTTCCTGCTCTTGGAAAGCTAAGAATGACATTGTGATACCCAATCACTAGGCTATTGATAACTCAAAAAAACTCACAGTGGAAATATTTCATAGGGAATGGCTAAAAGCTAGCAGCAGGAAGTAAAACAAGGCGAGAACACACTACACCCATGTTTCCTTTCCTGTCAATGAAGCTAATAACAATCAGTTATAACAGAATTGCATGCAGTTTCTTCATCTTGTCAAATGACATTCAGATAATTATTTTTTCTTCCAATTCAGACATTCTAATCCTTTCCCTGGTTTGGAATCAAGTCACACATTTTGGCCTTACAATTAGCATATTGGCTCACTAAAAAGGAGGCTTATTATGCTAGTATTACTTCATGAGATTAAGGTGGTGGAGAATTCTTGTAAGTCTCCTGCAAGCTGGAGACTCAAGGCGGCCAGTGGCACAGACCAATGGCACAGACCAAGTAGGCCAGTGGCATAGACCAATGGCACAGACCTGATACATGATACAGGTGTAGATGGAATCCAGAAGCCTAAGGATAAAGAGAGGTAAAGGCATTAGGCTGTTCCTGGGACTCAAAGTAGGCTGGGGTAAGTCCCTCTGTCCTTCACGTCTGATACTAAATTGGATGGTGCCCACTCACCTTCTACAGTCAGCACAGCAATTCAAAGACCACATTCTAGAACATCCCAGAAACAGCATATAGGCAGGTATCTAGGAGTATCATAGCCCAGCCAAGCTGATGCATAAAGTTAACCATCACAACTATGTGACAGGAAGCAATGAAACCATACAACAAATTACATGAATTAGTTGAATTCACCTTACCATGGACAATAGTCTATTGATGGCCACTGCCCGTTGCTGGGCTTCTATGTGAGGCATTTCATTCTGAATTACTTGATCTGTGATTCCATGAGGGAACTGGTGGCATAACTCTATAATTCTAGGAACAAAGGTATAAATGGTTTATGTTTGCTTGTTTTAAAAGATTCATGATAGTTAAGCTAAGTCTCAGTGTTATCAATGTACAGCAAAGTGAATCCAAGGTCTGTGGGCTGAAGGCAAATGTATGTAGAATGTATATGTATATGTGTGTGTGTGTAGGGGACATGTTATAGTGATTCACCATGACTGGAGTCTGTTTGAGAAATTATCCTCTCCAAACAAACTGGAGGGATTAATTTGTTTGGGGTGTAATAAACTTATTATCCACAATAATAATGTTGAGAAAGCCGCTGTCTTTTAACTGCATTATAACCTAAAAACACACGTGCGCTATGGAAGTTAAGGTACTCACTGAACCTACTTAGCTCAACAGTCTTTGTAATCACAAACTGAACCTTAAATTGGCCCAAACGTTCTCTTATAGAACTTCCCTTGGCAACCGAGCAATCTTGGATTCGAACACATGCCCAAGAACTACGGGGAAAATGCAGGCCTCTTTTCTGGCACTGGCTGCTGTCACGTTCCAAGTGCTATAATAGAATCCCAGAGAAGCCAGTTCCATAAAGTTTCAAGCTGTCACGCTGCTCTGGAGATTCTGTAGGGTTCTAGTCTCCTTAATCGGGAGGGGGGCGTCCAGACACCGGGCGACCCCGCTCCCGCGTGCTTGACCAGTGTGCTCCAACCTCTTCCCCCGGGACTGAGAGAGAAGGGGTCCGGCTATCCAGCTGACTGCTCGCCTAGCGTCGGGAACCGAGCTTCACTGCATTACCTGTTTTCTATTTCCACCGGATCCGCGTCCGGCGGCTGCACCTTCACCTTCACCTCCGCCATGAGGGCGGTCTTCGAGAATAGAGGAAAAGTGGCCTCTCGGAGCGCGCTGGAAGTCTCGGGAACCTGTGGAGGCACGAGCCGGGTGAAGGGGCGTGAGAGGGGAGAGGGACCTTCTTCGTCCGGTCGCGCTGGGCTTTCTTCATCGCATCGGCTTGGGGCGCCCGTGCTGTGCCTGTTCCGCCTTACTCAGCAGGGTCGCCACAACGTCTCCCTTCTGTTATCCCAAATTTCAGAGCTTGTCGGACGAGAGCCTCTTGTTCCAGTAGGCTGAGTAGGGTCGTCCTCTTCAACCTCTTCCCTCCGCTGAGAAGGCATATTCTTGGACACCTACAAGAAAGTGTCGCAGAAGGATCGGGAGTGGGTACCAGACCGAGGCTGCAGCCAGAGACAAGGGCGGGGCTGGTTGCTAGGAAGTCGATTTCCCTGCCAATCATCTGCTCGGCTCCCGATGGGCGGGGCGCGGTTCGCCGCGTCTGTGGTAACGCAATCTGCAGCGGAGGAGCAGACGTGAGTCAGTGAGAGACCAGACAACGGGTTGGCGGCAGCGGAGCTGCGTCGGGGGTCCTTTTTTCTGTCCTTGAGGCTGGAGAAGGGTAAGGAGAAGGGCGTCTCTCACCGGGTTGGGAAGGAATTAGGCATCTCTGACTGCCTCGCGAGGCCGAGGACGTGACACAGGTCTGGGTCCTGGTTTGGGCAGCGAGGAGATGGTTCAGGTGAAGGATGTTGGGAGATGGTGGTGGCATGACACTGACACCAGACTGCAGTGTGGACCTAGCGAATCAGCCATATCTGTCTCCATCATGTGAGGTCCAGTGACGACCCCAGATTTCCAGGAGGAGCTAATAGCTAACCGTGAGCACATCAGTCTCTTAACCAACGGTGTTTATTTAGAATCTAGTTTTCAGCTATCTTTATTTCAACCGACTCTAACTCGAAGGTAGGCAAATCCCTCTAAATCCATCCTCATTTCTGAAGGGTCAGATACCTGTAGATTTTATTCTCGGCCCTCAGTCTGGAACAATCCAAAAAGGCATTAAATTCGTCTTTTAAATCTAATTACCTCACGTTCTAGAACAAGATGTGTCAAAACGCAAAGATGTTCTCAGCAACATTATCAGAATTCCAACTACCAAATTTAAAAATAAATAACCTCACCATTGTGCATGCAACAAATTGTTACGTGGAAAATTGAAAGCCAGACATGGTGGCACACGCCTTTAATCCCAGCACTTGGGAGGCAGTCTCTTGTCTCGGAAAAGAAAAAATGAGGATGCAAAATGCTGATTATAAAAGTGAGATGAATATATACATGATAATTGAATAATTATGTAGCCATAATCATTAAAACAACAGTGCAAGATGCAAATACTGGATTAAGAGGACTCCTCCCCACCTCAGAGAAAAGACTCATAAGGTTTCTGTCCTGCTAGTTATTTACAAAACAGTAGAGCGAATAGGAAATTACGTTTGTTGGTTTATATTCATGTCAACTTCCTTTCTATTGAGAGCGGCTGCTCTGCAGTCTTTGCAGTATATTTTCCAAAACACGATATACTGCAGTGGCAAAGGTAAGACCATGGGGCTTAGAACTTCTTTTGAGAATTGGCTCTAAATAATTCATGCTGCGTGCAGTGATGGGTCTTATGTAATGGGTTGCCTTGAAATCGGGAGAGTGAGTGTGTATGTGTGCACTAGCTGAAGGCGGTGGAGGATGAATGATCTCCAGGGAACAGAGCTCGGAGCGTTGGTGGTGGATTCTGTTCTGCCTCATCCATGGACCTGCCCTTTTAAAGCAGCTCCAGACAATCAAATTCATCTCTTTACCTTTATTAGATGTAAAGTATTTAGGTGAATATCCAACAGGAGACCTCAAGAGCAAACATACAGCTAAAATGTTATAATTTCATTAATTAAATGGGGGCATTATCTTTAGGTGGCGTATTAATGATATGCTCTCTGGGCTTTACTGGTTTGCTGCATTTAAAATAAGTAGTACTCTGTAGTTTTTATGTTTAGGCATAGGTTCATGATAGAATTTTTTAATCTATTTTTTTATATAAGGAGAAAACATGACTGCTGGTTCAGTGTGTGCCCCTCAGATCATACCTCTGCGAGTGCCTCAGCCTGGAAAAGCTAACCATGAAATTGATACCAATACGCTTTTGGAAATGAAATCTGGTAGGAAGCACATGCATTTTGAATTATTTAAAATAACATTGTCATATTCCGTGTTCATGTGTTACTGATTGATACCTTTGCATGTTTTCTATATCGGGGCTTTAGACATTTGTAAATCTTCTACATATTGAGAATGTTCTTTGATAGTTTGTAGAGTGGTATGTATGTGTTTGTTTTTCATGAGAAAAGGTCTTATGTAGCCAAGATCGGCCTTGAACTCAATATATAGCCCAGCTGAATTTAAATTTGCAGCAATCCTCCCGTCTCAGCCAGGAGACAAACAGGTTGCTAGTGGCAACACCCTCTTGACTCACCTGGCTCAAGGTTAGATATCCAATTGTGTCCTCAGCCTTTCTCAGGATGCTTATTATTTTCTGAGATAATAAATTTTACCTATAAATACAGATTTTCTGGTATAAATAGTTAGAGATTGAATTCCAGTTTGACAACCTTGCTGGCCTTGGACACATTACTTAATTCTTCTGATTGTCAATGTCCTCATGCTAAGATGGGACAAGCATACCTGGAGCCACTTGGGAGGATTAAATGAGTTCCTGTATACTGGTATATATCCATTGCCATATTGAGTGGGTATTATATCTGAGGCATGCAAGATTTAGCCCGTAAAAATACTTAACTATTAAATCTGTGTATATGCTTATATATAATCAATCTAAAGAAGATTCATAAATAAAATATATAAAAGTATTTGTATTGAAATGTTTAGATTCCAATTACATATGTATCTAATTTTGATAGCTTAAATATATCAAAATTCTTTATCTGCATTTGTAGAGCTACTTCTGGGCTTCTTAGTCAAAGATTTTGAAGAATAAGCTATATATTATACCATGCTCTCTTTTATCTGAAAGGCTAATGTATTTAATAATGTAAACATATGAACTTATAACTCTTAGGAGAAGTAGGGCTATTATTAAAATATGATGATATGAATGATAGGGGTTTCTATATTCTCTACTATCTAAATGTCAAATAAATAAAGAGTTCCCACAGTTCAGTACTAAAGAGCATAATAAGCCAATGGGCAAAAGAGGTGGTTATGTAACGCATGCCCCTAATGCCAACACTGGGGAGGCCAAGACAGGAGAACTGTGAATCTGAGGCCAATCTGTGCTGCCTAATGAGACACTTTGGGGTACTGGAAATAGAGACAAAAATGTGTATACATATGGAGATGAAAGGAGAGGATTTGATTTAACATAACATCTATTAGCTTATAATAATATTAAATAAAATAAATCTTAACAATTACAGAAACAAAGTAGTAGATAGCACTTAATAGTAAATCTGCTTATATGTGTATATGCATATAAGTAACATAAATGTCAGTGTAAAGAAGCTTTATAGATAAGACATTTGAACAAATATTTATATTAAAAGACTTAGACTTTCAGATACACACATACACACACACATATATATATACATATATTTAGACATATATATATGGGAGAGGGAAGGAAAGGCGGGATGAAAGAAGAGAGTTTAACAGCAGTGAGCTTGTGAGTGTGGCCAGTGCCCTGGGTTCAATCCCCACTGCTGCAAAATTAACAAAGAAAAAAATGAAAGAAATAAAGAAAGTAACAAATGTATGTGTAAATCTATGTCTTTGCAAATCTCTGTGCAGAATCTAGACTTTTTCCTTTAAAGATTTGAAAGTCGAAGTGGAACCTTTGGGAAAAGGAAAGGGAGTGGTTTAGTCAAGGAGGGAGGGACTAACAGAAGAGGATAACATAAGGGCTAATGGGTGTGACAGTGTCATAATGGAACCCACTGCTTCTCACCGTGAATTTAAGCTAATAATGACAGGAAAGAAAAGATAGGCAAAGGACAAGAAAAACGTTTCTATAGGTAAGAAAATAAAAACGTCATTTCTATAAATGAAAGTAAGCTTCTACCCATCCTTTTATTTGCATACTGGGAAGAACTTCTCTCCTGCTTAGTTTATTATTGTCTGAGAAAATTAATTTGGTTGGTTAGTTACCGTTTATGTGCTCTCAAATGTATGCTCTATGAAGAAAGAAATATATGAGATAGGACATAGAATTGGTATACAAAGAGAGGGGAAAATAAAATTTAAAGTATATGTTTGCACGGATATGAAAGTTTTTCAAAGATACCTGATATTCTGTGGGCATCTGATGTAAGGCCGTCTCATTGTACAGACATTTTTAACCTTTTGAATTACATATTTTTTTAATGTTTCTAAGAGGTGTAGGAATCATTTTCTGAGACAGAATAAAATACTTCTTAAGAAATGCTCCAAAAGAGGAGTTTTGCTTTCTATGTGGTTTGTGCTATCTTAAAACTGACCCCTCTTTTGTTTGTATTAATACCTATTAGAAGACAGAGACCACAGTGGGTCAGGATTACAGGCTGTGTACCCAGCCCAGCAGAAGGCAAACCACATAGCATTAGGTCAATAGGTCAATAAATTTTGTGTATATTAAGATGTTCAAAGCTATTGCCATTTCAACTTGGAGATCATTAATCACTTCCCTTTTCCTAAATCTTTTTCCCACTCCCATTTTCTTTCTTAAGAATATTTATATTTTTATTTTATATGTATGGGTGTTTTGCCTACATACATGCCTGTGTACCACATGCCTGCTATCTACTGAGGCCAGAAGAGGGCATTGGATTCCTTGCTACTGGAGTTACAGACAGTTGTGAGCAACTATGTGAACACTGGAAATCCTTTGTTATTTATCAAGTTCATTAATCTCTCAAGTACTCAGTTGCCACCTATAGAATGGGTACAAATTAGGACCTACCACATACGGTAATATAAATGAATAGATGAAGTGAGTTCATTCATGCAGAGTACTGTGTTAGCACAAATAACAGAATCATTATTCATTTACTGTGTATGTGTGTTCTTTTTGACAGACTATAGGTATACAAGGACTTATTATTTCAGTGTTAATGATGGTTATCCTGTTCTGGATTTTTCAGACACCCCAGATGTCAACATATATTATACCCTGGATGGCAGCAAACCTGACTTCCTCAAGAAAACTGGTTCTGGTGAAAATAATACATTTAAATATATAAAACCTATTACTCTCCCTGATGGAAAAATACAAGTTAAAGCTGTTGCTGTCTCTAAGTAAGTTAAGAGCATGGTAGGCAAGCAAGCATGGTAGAATCACACTAATATAGATATGCATATATATGCTATTTTTGGTTCTTAGACACAGGTTTCTCTATATAGCCCTGGCTGTCTTGGAACTCTCTCTGTAGATCAAGTGGCATTGAACTCAGAGATCTACCTACCTCTGTCTCCTGAGGATTAAAGGCATGTGCCACCGTTCCCAGCTACATTATATTCTAATTTTATTCAGTTCTTCTTGGGAAAATCAATGTGTTAGAAGTCCATTAATGACAAAGTTACCCTAATTTCAGTAATTTTATTGAGGCATAAAGTTCACAGATCTTAAGTATATAGCTCAATAAATGTTGCCTATATTAATAATATTTTTATTTCAAATTCTACACTGGAATTCTGGGGAGGAAGAACTTTCTCAAGAGCTTCCTTTTGCTCTGAGGAAAGTGCTGTTTAGTGAATGGTTCTTTTATTCCCTGGGATGGGACATCATTGTTTGTTTTATTTCCTGTAGACTTAATTGATGTTCCAGCTCATTTTAACTTGTTCAAAGTTTCATTTCAACTTGGATGTCCTTAGCCACTTTTTCCCTAAATCTTCTTTTTCCCACTCCCATTTTCTCTTTAAAGAATTTTTTTTTATTCATTTGTATTTGGGTTTTGTTTTTTGAAACAGGGTTTTTCTGTGTAGCCTTGGCGCTCCTGGAACTCAGTCTATAAACCGGGCTGCTCTTAAGTTCACAGAGATCTGCTTGCTTCTGAGTTCTGGGACTAACGGTGTGCACCACCATGCTTGGCCTTGATTATTTTCTTACATTTACTTATTTACTTTCTCTCTCCCCTCCACCCCCACCGTGTGTGTGTGTGTGTGTGTGTGTGTGTGTGTGTGGTGTGTATGTGTATGGGGGGGGAGAAGAAAATTCATTTCACATCAGAGTATGGAAAGAACACAGTTGGACAAGAAGGGGAAAGAACTTGAGAACATCCCAGGAAGGGAAGGGTATTGTCAAAGATTGATGGCCCATACTGGCAATCTAATCCCAGGGTCCACTCACCCTCTGCTTCTTTAAAAGTCTTAGGATCAACAGCATCCTGTCTCACCAACATATTTTGTGATGTGTTGGGTGTGATTGTGCAGTTTCCCTTCTCTACCACTGGCCTATGCAGGGGTCACAATATATTAAGGCAAGCAGGAACAAAAGCTGGAACTATGGGTTGTGTTTTCTGACAAAGTAGTGGATATGGACAAGCGTCTGCTCACCCAAGATGGAGAACAAAACACAGACAAAAGTAAACCTGCTTCCAAACTTGGCCAAACAGTAGGATTTATGAGGTTACTCCCAAGAATATGAGTGTGTACTTAAAACAACAGAAATGACTCAAAGACAGCTGGATTACCCAGTGCTCACCCTAGCACAGGTTCCAGCCCAGAAAAGTTGGATCCCTGCAGCCTATTTTAAAATCAAACTTGCAAGCAGCTTGACATGTCAGAGTCAGAAAATGTCTCTTCCAGGCAGCTGTGCTGGCCTCTGCCTCTTCCAGGTGGTTTAGCTGGTTTGAGGCCTCTTTTGGGCAGCTTGGCTCATCTGAGAGTATCTCTCCTCAGTCCTTACTTCTTATGTAAGCTTGGGGAAGGAGGAACTAGACCTAGTAAGTCTAGTTGGTTTTGGAGGACTTCTGAAGCTGATGTTGTTTACCCTCCTGAGTTTTGTCAGCTGCCATGCAAAATGGACATTTCACCTCCCTCTAATATCCTAAGTCTCAATAAACTTTCCTCCAAGATAGAATGTTTCCTCTGGAAGGAACTTGCTATGACGGAGTTCCACTGTGAGCTTTCAGAGCCACTGAGTACTTCAGGGCCTCAGATTCCTCTGAGAATAATTATTTTCTTCAGTAGATTCAGGAAGGACCCCTAAGTTTTCCAATGGAGTTGATAAAGCAAACAAAAGTTAGCTACCAGCATATCTCACAGGCCTTCATCTGTAGTTTTTTGAAACACACACACACACTCAGCCTTAAAAATGTCAACTTCCTACCTGGAGGGCATGATGCAAGCTTGTGGTATAGAGACCCTGTTCAGGAGGCAATGCAGGGAAGAGACCTGAATGCCATGTCTACAGGCAGCAAAGGCAGAGAGAACTCTGGGAGAAGTCACTGAGTCTGTAGAAAGAATATAGGACTTGGAAACTGTACTAGCTAATTTGTGTTAATATGACCCAAATACCTGAGAACAAATGAAAAAGGAGACTTATTTGAGGTATTACCCCATCAATGTGGGAAAGGAGAAGTAGAAGAGAAATGGTCATATTATGGCCACCAGGAAGGAAAAAAAAGCATGGGAATACAGGAAAGAAAAGAATACATATGTGACTACAGGAAAGGGCCAGGGCAAGCTGTAATCCCTGTGGATGTGCCTGCTGGTGACCTGGTTCCTCCAGAGGTCCCTCCTGCCTTTCACTGTTTCCCAATAATGCCATTATATCGATTTGTCAAAGGATAATCTATCGATTAAGTCAAGACACAGCACACAGACACCCCCAGAGTGTGCCTTACAAATCCTTTAGGCCTTTCTCAATCCAATTGAGTTGACAAGATTATCACCACAGAGATTTGAAGATTTTAACCCTACTTAATCATTTAGTCAGGTGACCTTGATCGGGTGGCCTTCTGACTTTCATTTTCTTTATGTTAGTCCTCATTTCTGAGGCTACTAGAATTTCAGATCTGGCCCTAGTCTTAGAACTCAAGAGTTTGTGCTGGGTGAGTAAAATGTGAATTAATTCCTTTCTGTTCCAAAAGTCAAGATTCTCTGGGCATAATTCCTCTCCCATGACATATATGTCAGAAACCTTTTGGGGGACTAGGGAGATGGTTCAGTGGGTTAAATGCCAGCTGTACAAACATGAGGATATGAGTTTGGATCCCTTGTACCCACTTAAAAGTCAGACAAGTGCCTGGAGCCCGGCTGTAAGTGGCAGTAGACACAGGCAGATCTCGCGGTCACTGACCAGCCAGCATAGCTGAATAGGTGAACCCTGGGTTCAGTGAGCGACTCCTCTTAAAGAAAACAAAGTGGAGGCCAGACTTAGTGGCTCATGCCTTTAATCCCAGCAGTTGGAAAGCAAAGGCAGATGGGTCTCTAAGTTTGGGGCGAGCCTGATCTATAAAGCGAGTTCCAGGGCAGACAGGGCTCCACAGAGAAACCTTGTCTCAAAAAACAAACAAACAAACAAACAAACAAATGAGAGACCTGTGGAGGATGGCTCAGTGGATAAAGATGCTTGTGGTACAGCATGATGATTGCATTTGGTTTCCAGAATCCATGTCAAAAGCTGAGTGCCATATTATAATCTGTAATCTCAATACTCCTGCAGCAAGATGGAAGGAAGGCAAGATGAATCGGCCAGAAACTTCCAGGCCAAAGAGGCTGGGGCAGATATCTCAGAAATCACAGGAGCCACACCCTACCTCAGAATCGGATGCACAGAGAGAACCAGCTTCTGAAACTTGTCCTCTGACCTCTTCATACATGCCGTGGCCCATTGTCTCCCACTCCCTATGTTCTATGCACTTATCTACACACAGTAAATGAACGAAGTGGAGAGTGATAAAGGAAGATACCTGACCCCATATCTAGCTTCCACATACGCACACACTCATGCATGTAACTCATATCCACATACTTATACCACATAAACATGAACATACACTACATGTGCATGTATGCAAAAAAATCATCTTGGTGCATCTTATTTGCTATTAGCATCTAGTTTGTAATGGGTAGACTTACAGCTGGTCATTTTATAATGAAGAGGGTAGCCTCTATGGAAAATAAATATCTTGCCAGCATATTATTATTTTCAATAGGCTGAGAAGACTCAACCCAAACCAAACTGTGAATTCCCACTAACCCAGCTTTGTAATTTCCCTGTAGTCATTCAGAAAATTCTGTTTTGTAATGCTGAAGATTGAACTCAGGGCCTTGCCCATTCTAGGAAGACATATTATGACCTATGCTATACCTAAGATCTTTAATTCTGGTATCCATTGAAAGGATAGTATAGTGGGTTGGCCTGATGCTGCTTGTATTGCTAATATTGGGCCCCCAAGACTGCTTGCCCTAAAGATAAGAGGGTCTGCCTGTGGATGCTAAGTGGCCCTGTCCCCAAGTTATTTCTGATGGGTAAATAAAGATGCCAGTAGCTGAGTAGAAGAGACAGGTGGGGGTTTAGGTTTCAAGGGTTTGGGTTTGGAGAAGAACCATAAGGAGGAGAGGGTGCAAGAGGAGGAAGGAGAAGGCCCCATGGGTTAGGTACGCTATAAAAACAAGGCCCTGAGGGCTGGCCACTTGGAGTTAAGAGCAGCCCAGATGAAACATAGTAAGTAGTAAGTAATAATAACTCGGGGTTATCCATAGGAAAGCAGATTCTAATAGCATGGAGAGTAGGTATTTGTCCAGCTCTTGTGCTATTTAAGGCTTATTGTAAGTATAAAGGCTGTATTTGTCTTTTCTCTGGGAACTAAAGGGTGGAGTAGAAACTCCGTGTCAGGATTAAATAATTTCTGTTAGCAGGATAGTATTTGTGAGCCTAATGGTACCCAGACATGGCATTAATGCTGGGTATAATTTATATTGGTACATATATATTTAAGGTCACTATCCTGAGCCCTAACAGAAGTATATGAATGTTTCAAGTCACCTTAGGCTATAAGATTTATAACTCTATTCTCAAACCTAATTCTTTGAGGGGTAGCTGCCTATCATGCAGCTTAAACTGATCTTTGGGCTGTTCTAGGCTAGATTCTGTGGGCAAATGCCTTAGCTGGGTCTCTAAGGATCATCATCTAAGGACCATCTGTGGTAGGGAGGTAACAGGGTCCTTAAAGGATTGGAACAAGTAACTGAGAACCAACGTGACTTCAGTATGACTTCAGTGTGGGGTCTCAACGCCCCTCCAGGAGCCTTAGAGAAGTGGGCTAATAAGGACAGCTGAGATGAATGAAGTAGTTCATGCACAGATCATCTTACGGGTGTTCAGACAGAAGCTGCAGCTTTGGTCTTATGTTTTAAGTGATGTGGGCCCCTCCAGGCACCAAATGTGGAGATAGTCACTAAACATTGAAAGCCAAGTATGTTGTTATGTTTTTCTTTTCTTTTGTTTTTTAAAGATTTATCTATTTATTATGTATATAGCATTCTGCTTGCATATATGTCTGCAGGCCAGAACTGGGCACCAGATCTCATTATAGGTGGTTGCAGGGAATTGAACTCAGGACCTCTGGAAGAGCAGGCAATGTTCTTAACCTCTGAGCCATCTCTCCAGACCCCTGTTATGTTTTTAACACTGTAGTTCAGATATTGTTATTTAGATGAATTTCATACTTCTGAGTTTTTGACCTTCTAAAATACAGCTTAAAACCTCTCTATTATGTTAGATATTTCTCAACTATATTAGAATTGATGTTTATATATTTATGATTTTACATAAATAACTTTAAGCCTTTGGGGACATGTATTTGCCTAGAGTTTCAAAGACTTTAGAAACATATTTTGGAATGTATAAAATCTGAGAAATTACAGAAACACAAGTAAAATACATCAGAGATCATTGTAAATATCAACAATAGCAAGACAAGCAAAGGACACAAAGAAAGCAGGTGATTGACGTTCACAAGTGGTGAGAGCCAGGCAGATCAGTCAGAACCACAGCTGTGAGTGACCCACAATGCACAGGCATGTAAAGAAAATAACAGGAAACTGTCTCTGTTCCACTGAGCTTTCAGAGCAGGTAAATCATAGTGACAGTTAATCCCACAGACACTGCAGGACTGTGATGGTGATATGACAAAGGGTCGACCTGCCCCCAACATCTGCTCCTCCTAAAGGAATGGCAACTGTGAATTTTAGCCAGGCACATGGTTGCCTAATAGGTATTTCCTAATCTTCCTTGAAGATAGGTCTGGGTATATCACCAGGTTGTGGCTCATGCAGAAGGGACATGTGAAATTTCCAGGCTGTCTTTAAGGGAGACTCAGTAGGCTCTGCTTTCCACTGTCTGGAATGTGGATGTCAACCATGGATCATGAGAACAAATGTAATGTGCTCGGGATGATAGAAGAAGGAGATGGAAAGTTGACCCTATGACATCTGTATCACTTTTATTAGTGCTATGATAAAAATACCTGACAAAAGCAACAGTGGAGGCAAGGGTTTATTTTGGCTCACAGTTTGAAGGTCCATCAAGGAAGGGAATCCATAGTGACAGGATCATGAGACAGCAGATCACATTGCATCTGCAGCCAGGAAGCAGGGTGGCAGGGTGTTGGGGATGGTAGAGCTCACCTCATGTTTCTTTATTGAAGTGTAGGACTCTAGCCCACATCCAGGGGGCTCTACTTATCTCAACCCAATAAAGGAAATCTTGTAGACATGCCCAGAGGCTTGTTTCTTATGTGAGTTTAGAGCCCATAAACAATCAACATTACAATGCTTCTACTCTATGCTATCTGTCTTAGTGTTCTATTGCTGTCAAGAGACATGGAGACCACAGCATCTCTTATCAAAGACAGCATTTAACTGGGGGCTGCTTACAGCTTTGTTTGATCCATTATCATCATAGTGGGAAGCATGCAGGCAGACCTTGGCACAGTAGCTCAGAACTATAGCCTGAGCTGTGGGCAGAGAGAGACTCTGGGCTTGCCAAAGGCTTTTGAACCCTCAAGGCCCATCCCCAGTGACACTCTTCCTCTAACAAGGCCACACCATCTAATCTTTCAAACTGAGCCACTCCCCAGTGACCAAATCGTATGATCCTATGGGGTTATTCTCATTCAAATCAGCACACCATCTTTGCTTGCTTAGACTTGTCACTTCTGTTTTGTTCTTTTGGGTGTTTGTTTGTTTGTTTGTTTGTTTTCTGAGACGAGGTTTCTCTATCTAGCCCTGGCTGTGCTGGAACTCACTTTGTAGACCAGGCTGGCCTTGAACTCACATAGATCAGCATGTTGCTACTTCCCCGAGTACTGGGACTAAAGGTGTGAACCACCTCACCTAGTACTTTTATTTTTCAGTCATTATTTTGGTTCTAGTTGTAGTAGCCAACCCATATCCTAATACACAAGGAGCATCTCAAGCAAGTATCTACCGAGAACATAACCAAGTGACAATATCCAGTGCTATTGATATGTTGAGAATTCAGGATATCAGAAGAACCTTACATAATGTCCTTGGGATATGCATTATGTGATGATTCGTTTTGGGTTGGGGTGTGTGTGTGTGTGTGTGTGTGTGTGTGTGTGTGTGTGTACACGTACTTGACTGTCCATCATATTGACCTTTGGCAAGTCACTGATTGATGTGTGAGGGCCCAGCCCACTGTGGGTGGTGTCACTCCTGGGTTGTATAAGGGTAGGTGAACATGTCTTGGGAAGCAAGCCAGTAAACAGCATTCCTCCTCAGTCTCTGCTTCAGTTCCTGCCTCCAAGTTTCTGCCTTGAGCTCCTGCCCTAAATTCCCTCAATGATGGGAATAAACTATCAGCCAAGTAACCCTGTTCCTCCCCCAAGCTGTTTTGGTCTTGGAGTTTTATCCCAGCAGTAGAGAACTAAAGTAGGACAGCAACAACATTCAAATCCATGGTGCTGAATGCTAGCATTCCAAGGAGTGCAAGAGCTGGGTATCCACCCACACAAACCTTGTAATCATCCATGTTATTAAAATGACAGTAATAGAAATGAACGCCACTTTATTTTTAAAAAAGAACTCAGGAATGAGATCATTGAACATTTTAAATATAAATACTTAAGTATATTTTTGGATATAAATACCATGTATTTCATGATAAGTAAATAGAAAAAGACTAGAAATAATTGCAAGGAAGATGCTTCATAGCAGACCCATTTTAAAAACAACTGCAGTCCTTTGAGAACATCACTTTAACTAGAAAATCACTTTTATTAGAGATTTCTGTTGGCCTTTTACTAATAATTTCTGTTGGCTGTCTGTGCTCTTGTAGTGTAGATTGTGTTTGTATTTTTATTTTATTGTATTTTTTATTTTTATGTGTTAAGGGTGTTTTGCCTACATGTTTACCACATGCACCCAATGCCCCTGGAGGCCAGAGAAGGGCATCAGATGCCCTGGAGCTGGGATTACAGACAGTTATAAGCCACCATATGGATGGTTGGAATTTAATTTGGGTCCTTCGGAGGAGCAGCCAGTGCTGTTACCCACTGAGCCTTCTCTCCAGTCCCTGTTGCATTTATTTTTATCATTGGATTGTAGGAGAGCTTCTCCAGGCCATATAGGACTGACACAGGGGAAAAGCAGAGGGACTATATATTCTCCTGGAAATGGTTTGGTTTTGGGTCTTGCTATATAGTACTAGCTAGTCTTAAGCTTGGAGGGATCTTCTTATCCTAGTCTCCTGGTGCTGAGATCACAGATATGTACCTCTATGCCTGGATTTCCAGGAATGTTTTTGAAGATCCAGAGCAGACCTAGAATGGTGATACCAAAAATTCAAACCACTTCTGTGGGCTTGAGCTGCTTGGAGCTGAGGCCAGTACACTGAGCATTCAGGCCACTGCAGGGAGCCAGGCTGGATGGGAAGGAGTGATGCACACTGGGTCTCTGTGAGCATAATGGGCAGGAGCAGGGTCTAGAATACCATAGCCACTGCTGAAGGCTGGCATTACCCAACCTCTCACCCCCAAAACCGCCTTAGCTGGAAGTATATTTTAACTTTTCCAACTGAAAATACCACACATTTAGGGACACATTAAGGAGCTTTAGCATCATAACTGCTAGCCACCTCTCTCTGAGTGTTTGTATAATATACCCTTTCCTTTTTAAAAATATGATTTTCAGAGACTGCAGACAGAGTGGGATTGTCACAAAGGTGTTTCAGGTGGACTATGAACCACCGAAGATGGTCTCTCCTGAAGACAATGTTGAAGATGCTCTCAAGGGGTTCTCAAAGCAGGCAAGTAATGAAGCCAAAGAGTTTTCAGATTATCACTATGTTTTTCATCCTTTCTTTGCTCAGTGGGCACATCTTCCCTTCTACTACAACACTTCTACTCACAGTCAGATCTGTGTGATTAAGGTCAGTATCAACCATTGTGAAGAATCTTCACTGGTTCCCAGACTTGGTCAAGCCTTCTTCTAAGACCAGAATTCTGACTCAGCACCATCACTGCCTGTGTTCAAGTGTCTGCAGTGACTCTATGAACGAGACCATTAGGCTGCCACCCAAGAATCAGTTTCTGTGTTCACCCAGCATTTGTGCTTTGTGAACTCTGTATAAACTGCAGATAAATAAGCTGTTTACATTGTCTTTGTCCCTCATCATCTGGGGGGAAAACTGATCTGAGCATGTGAGTTCTTGGTTTCTTATCTTTTCCATTTACAAGCTCTGAGATAACAGTAAGCAGGCCTACCATACTTTTTGGCATAACACAGGGGCAGGCAAGGGAGGCCAGTGAGTATATATTTGGGGAATGGAGTAGCCAGGCTAGTAGACCATTGCAGTGTGTGTTGACTTCTATTAGTTAAAGTCTTCACCCCACAAAAGCTGCAAATCTGCACTTCTTTGGAGAATTAATCTGATATATCTAAGAAGGATGTTTGAAACATCAGTCCTGAGTTGCTGGCACTAGTGATCCAGGTAGTAGGGTCAGAGATAGGGCAACTGACCAAGAGGTCTTAATCATGGGGTACTTGTTGAGAGTGACAGAGAAGGTTCGTGGGGTGTTACTTAAGCCCAGTGGTAGCCCTGAGACCAGAGCACATGTTGTGGGACAGAGCAGTAGATGGCGTGGATGAGGCAGACTTGTAGTGTGGTTATCACGGTGATGATCTACAGGCCAGTGGAGATTCAGATCTGAATCAGATCGAAGGGACGGAGTCCACAAAAGGCCAGGGAGAAGGGAGTTTGGAGCACTGTCTGGGCAGGTAGTGAGCATAAGGCTTCTCTTTCTTGTCTAATGTCACCCTATTTTTCCTCTCTGACTCTTTTTTCTCCCCTCTGATATTACTGTTTCTGATAACGGTGCTATCCATGTGCTCTCCTGTCCCCTGTCTTGGCTGCTTTACCTGGCGATGCGTAGCAAGGCCTACCAGCCAGATGCTGGCTCACTGAGTAGTCTAGACACAGAGCTGTGGGTTTCTAAAGGAAACAGATATTCTTTATAAAAACTGCTATAACCCCTTTCAAGTAAGAAGTGTCCACCATGACATTGTCTCTACTATGACTTCTAATTTTCATACTCTAAATGTATATAATCAAGTAATATGTAATCTCTTCATTCCTAGGAATTAAAAAATGGGTTTGTCGGACCAAAACTAAGGAAGAAGTATAAGAATGCTGAAAATAAATCAACTTGGAACGTTAACCTTAGACAGCTTGCAGGTATGGTGAGGCAGAAGGAAACCCACTAAGCAGACTTCCTGCTTACTCACTGCATGCTTTCTGTGTCCTCGTGTTGAAATAAGAAAACCAGGCATGCTACAATTTGATTTTTTAATTTATTCTAGCTAATAGATCAAGACTATGAGAGATAAGCAAGCAGACTGATAAATTTGATTTATTGAATAATTAGATTGAAGGAACCATGGGACACCTCACCAAAGAAAGAATCACTGGGTTTAGGGAGTGGATGGGGTTTGGGTTAAATTTAAACAAAAGCAGGGTTTTGATAGAGCTGAGCCAAACTGAGCTGCACAGTAGGGTCAGTATCAGCTATGGACTCAAGCTTCTTACTTTGGAAACTACAAAGGTGCATATAGATAGAATGTGTTCAGGACATGGCTAAAAAATGAGCCTGCTTTTTATGTCATGGTAGGCTAGCAAAATAGCTTATCAGGTAAGGTAAAGGCATTTGCCATGCAGACTCGATGGCCTGATTTAATCCTGGGAGCCCATGTGTAATGAGACAACTGACTCCCAAAAGCGGGCCTCTGTGGCATGCACGCACCCTACGCACAAATGACAGCAACACTTGTGTTAGGGGTTGTGTTTATTTCTTTTCTAAAAACAACAACTAAATGACTTGGGTCCTCTAAGAAAAGTTGAGTTCTTATATGAATTCAGGCAGCAAAGGTTCTGGAGTCCTCAGTAAATAAGCAACAGCTATGCAAAGAAAGGCTGTCATGGGTTTCTTTTCTTTTCCTTTCTTTTCCCTTCATTTCTTTTCTTTACTTTTCTCTCTTTCTTTTTTGTTGAAATAATGTTAATGTTATTCGCTAACTTTGCAATTGGTGTGTTCTGTTTTCTTAACTTGATAGAATATTATAGAATGCACCAAGGAAGGTAATTGTCTTAGACTGGGTCAATTATTTTTTTCTCAGCTTTATTTCACTTACTCAGGGAGGGTGACATTATAGTATTTGCTGCTAGGGAAAGAATGTGACATGGTCTTTTATTGGAAGTTTCTAGCTATGAGAACATATTCGTATGGTTGTATATGGTAATGATATCACAAAACAATATTTTTAATATAATTATAGACCTCAAGATAGACGAAAGAGCAGACCCTAAAACTCTGAAAGATCTTCGCTTCTCAGAAAGGCCACTGGAAATCCCAGCCTACCATGAGGGAGCGAGTGCTCGAATACATACTCACCAGGCCCAGGTAACATCAGTGGAAATTCTTTAGGGTAGCAAAAATGCCCCAGGGATCTTAATGCTTCCCAGCATACTCTCAGACAGCATCTCTCAAACTTTAGCCATGTTGCAGGCAGTGTCCCAGCTCTAGAAATACTGTGTCTAAAGGGAAAAGCCTTCCTATTCATAGAGCTAGCCTTTTACTTGAGCCAGGTAAATAATAATCAAGAAAATAGTTAACACAATTCTTTTTTGAGACAGATCTCTCTGTGAAGCCCTGGCCATCCTGGAACTTGGCTTATACCAGACTGGCCTTGCACGCAGAGGTTCACCAGCCTCTGCCTTCTGAGTGCCAGGATTAAAGGCATGAGCCACCACCACCCAGCTACACACAAAAAGTTTTAATCAGACAAACTGGGTGGTAGGGTAGCACAGTGGTTCTCAAAGGTGCTTTCTTACACCTGCATGATCATAATCACATAGAAGTTCATTCGAAGTGTATGTTCTCAGGTCTAAAACAGAGACTCTAGGCATGAGAGCAGTATCTGCATTTTAAATATCCATCCTTCTGGCCTAACATTGATTTCAGGGTCAGGCAGCAAAGTAGAGGATAAATAATCCATGACAGCTAGCTTTAGGGTGAGGTTACCAAGTCTGTGGGTTCTGTGATGATGTGGAATGCCAGAGGTACCCAGAGTGATCATTTTCATCTGCAGCCAGCCAATGACAAGGACTTCCAGTTCACTATTGCCACCTGATGAGTTTGCATGAAAATCAGAAACCTGCATCTTCATGTCTACTAACCTAGCTAAAAATCTGAGAATCAATCCAGAACCTGAATCAGTGTAGGAGAAAATATATATGTATATAGGCCAACTGAACTTCAGTGTCTCACAATATTTGGTGGTCTATATGACAGGTAACTCATAGCAATTCATAGCCTATGGCATGACTATGGAATTTGGCGTTGTCTCATATTCCCGTGACTGGATTCAGGCATGGATTTGGGATACCTCCTAGAGGAAGGGTAGATAGACCACCAGTTTATGATTTCTGATACAGGCCGTGTTTGATGTACTACAAAAACATTAAACAAAGAACAACAATAACAACCAACACCCAAAACAATAACAAAATCATTCTGAATGATCCCCATTGTCTACAGAATAAAGTCTGAAATCCCAAGCTTCAGTGCCCACAGTATTGATGTGAACTCAAGTCAAATGGCTTTGAGCATCAGCATCCACTCAAGAATGAGTATTGTGACCCCCTCACACACTGCATTGACAGCACCCTTCCTCTAGGATGTGTCCCAAATCAATGTCTGAATCCAGTCACAGGAATATGAGACATCGCCAGATTCCATAGTCATGCCATAGGCTATGAATTGCTATGAGTTAACTATCATATTCTTGTTTTGTTCATAGACGGAATCTTACTATATAGTCCTGGCTGGTCTGAAACTATGTAGGCTGGCCTCAAATTCGTGGTAATCCTCATGTGTCTGCTTCTTTTTTTTTTTTTTAATTAAGACATAGCCACATCACTTCCCCTTCCCTTTCTTCCTTCCAACCCGTGTCATGTAACATCCCCTCACCCCAACTCCCTCTCCAAACTATGGCCTAGTTCTCAATTGTTTTATATATTGAGGTCTCACGGGTGATAGATTCTGCCTCTTGAATGCTGGGATTACAGGCACACACCACTGGCTGACCTATTGCTCCTTAAAAATGTTCAAGGCAAGAAAAATGAAGAAGCTGAGCGGTGCTGGCACATGCCTCTAGTCCTAGCACTCGGGAGGCAGAGGCAGGCAGATATCTGTGAATTCAAGGCCAGGTTTTTCTACAAATCAAGTTCCAAGGCAAGCAGGGCTACACAGAGAAACCCTGTCTCAAAAAAACAAAACTAAACCAAACCAAACAAAATGAAAACCTACAAGAAAAGGAGGAAGGAAGGAAGGAAGGAAGGAAGGAAGGAAAGGGAAGAGAGATGACGAAGAAAGACTGAGGAAGCGCTTCAAATTACAGGCAACAGGGCTGGATAGATGATGGCTCAGTGGTTAAGAGCACCGACTGCTCTTCCAGAGGTCCTGAGTTCAATTCCCAGCAACCACATGGTGGCTCACAACCATCTGTAATGGGATTGGATGCCCTCTTCTGGTGTGTCTGAAGACAGCTACAGTGTACTCATATACATAAAATAAATAAATTTTTAAAAAAAATTACAGGTGACAAGTATACATGACATGGGATCATATCCCAGACCAGGAAAACAATACCTAGCTATAAAGGACACCATTGGCACAACCAGCAGGGTCTGAATGTGGATCTGCGGATTAGATAACATCATCACTCGGAACTTTGCTGATTTTGGCGTACGGTTGGTCTTGGGAAATGCACACTCAGCAACTTAGGACAAAAGGAGATACTGCTTACAGCTTATTTTCATATGACTCAAAGAGAATAAAGATATATGTAGAAAATGTTGATATAAGTAATTGTTTAGCCTGGGGAACAGGAGTTACTTTTGCTATTTTGATAACTTTTTTAAAAGACTGATTTATCCAAATAAGATGCTATGTGCTCAAGTGTGGTGATTTACTTCTTTAATCATTGGTTTTGGGAGGCTGAGGCAGGAGAAAAACATGGCCAACATAGCAAGACCTTGTTTCAAAATAATATTACAGAATTATAATGAAATGGTCGTGGCATAGCACAACTCAGAGTGTTACTGTGAATGGCAAAGAGATAATGGCTGCTGTATGCCAGTGTGTTTTACATCAGTAGTAGGATGGCTAGCTTCTCCCCTTCATCTTTCTTTTTTTGGGCATCCCTTCTTTCCATATTGTAGTCCACAATAAGCCATATGTGTCCCAGGATGGGCCATGCATTGCCCTGCCATGGTACCTGTGTGTTTTCTTACTATGGGTTCCTTTTGTTTTCTGTCTGCTTTTCATACTTTCCTCTCATTTCCCATGCCCATCTCTTCCAAGACTCCCTTCACCCATGGAGCCTGCAGGTGTGACTATTCTGTCTTCTAGATCCCTGTAGAACACAGCACAACTCTGTCATCTTGCTAGGTCCATAGATTTCAGTTATTTTGTACAGATAGGAGAAGTGTCCTTTAGGGACAGGGACCATGTAATATTTTGCTTTTTTGACCTTTTCTCTGCACCAAACAGAAAATTAATTCAAATAACCTATTTGTATAAGTGAGACCTTTTGAGTTTTCTAGAAATATTATCCTTGAGACAAATGGATACAAACTTAAGTCTCCCAGTTCTAAAATATTATCTGTCTAATAGTAAACTCAGATATCTTCTTCTTTCTTAAACTTTTGTTATAAATAAAATATACACATTTACTCATGAGTAGAAAGCACTTAATAACTTACGTTGATTCCAGAGTAATAAGTACAAAGACTTTCCCTTATGTTGGTAAAAGAATTTTGAATGGACGGTTCCTGTCCTGTAGCCTTTACCATGTTATATGGACTGTGTGTCTATCTGTGTTCTTCATTTTAGTCCCCTGGCTTTGCACACATAACTGGCCAGAAGACTCTGACGAGCACTGAGATCATGAGGATCCAGAGGGAGACAGACTTTCTCAAGTATGTAATGCCTTCTCTACTCTGTCTTACATTCTTCAAAGTTACATGTGGTCTGTGAGATTAAAAATGAAATATAACACTGTCTTTGCTCATTCCTAGTTTTAAGACAGGTTGACTTGCCATGTCAACCTGGCCTGGCACTTGCTTTACAGTCCAGGTTGGCCTCAAACTTAAAACAATCTTCCTGCTTCAGACTCCAGAGTGTTGGTATTTAACATGCCTAGAAATTTTTTAGAGTTTTAAAAACACATAATTGGGAAAAAGAATCCAGGACTGAAGAGATGGCTCAGTGATTAACACACTAGCTTCTCTTCTAAAGGACCTGGATTTAATCCCCAGCACCCACATGGTGGCTCACAATTGTCAATAACTCCACTTCCAGGGCATCCAACACCCTCTTCTGGCCTCTCTAGGCATGGGCATGTATTGCAGGCAAAACATTCATACACAGAAAATAAAAATTTAAAGTAGAAAATTTTCGAAAAGACAAACGATGCTGACACTCACTGAAATGTCTACCTGTGAAGAGCGTGATTGACACGTATGTGAAACTAACACTACAGTCACAGAATGAACGTGTTCACCCCGACACTGTACCCTCCAGCCTGCCTCAGCCCATCAGCTGTTGATCTGGTCCTTATCACTCTAGCTTGGTTTGCATTGATTCTATATGTAATATAATAAAGCAGCATGCACTCTCTCCCCACTCTCCAGGCTTTATTGATCCAGCATAATTGTTCTTGTGACTCATACATGTTTGCTGACATCTAATATCTATTTATTTTACTGACAAGCTTTTTGTATATCGCAATTTCTATTGAATGGGCACACCACAGTTCACTTACCCATTCAACTGTGAGGGCACATGCTCCTCCCAGAATTTGGCTAGCATGTCAAACTGAAAAACTAATGTGAACATTTATATACAAGTAACTATGTGTACATCAGCTTCCATGTCATTTATGGTAGAAATCTTGAAGGAGAATGACTGGGTCATACCCAGTTATTTCCAAAGGAGGGATACCACTTATATTTACCTCAACAGTGACAGAGAATTCCAGTTTTTACATCTTTACCAACACTTCATACTTTTAGACATTCTAGTGAGATTGTAATGGTGTATCATTGTGATTCTAATTTATATTTCCCTCATAATTAATAATAGGAATCTTTTACATATGCATAAACAAACACACACATATTTTCAAGAATTTCCCCTCTTTGATGTCGTGTGTGTGTGTGTGTGCATGCATGCTTGTGTGCTTTAATTGGGTTTTCTTGCATAAGCATGAGCTACTGCTCCATAGGTACATCACTGATAAAACTGTCTCTCAACAAACCTTTTACTAGTAGTAGTCCCTGGGGGTTCGGGAGCTAACGTACTCTCCACCATTCATTGTATATATATGAATATTAGTGTAGACCCTTATGAATTCATGCAAACCTGTTTCGTTGTAGGTGTACCCACTGTCTGGCTTCCCGTCCATCTGATCCTTTTGCTCGCTTCTGTCAAGAGTGTGGCGCTCCTGTCCCACCCATATTTGGCTATCGTCTTCCACCCCCAGAAGGGGCTCAGGTAAGCTTCAGAATGTTTGAAAACATTTATTTCTGTATGACCTGCATATTATTTATATGTGACCTGTATAGGTAGCCGTGACAAGGGCCTGTCACATGAGCCACACACATAAACACTCACTGAAAGAATTTTGAACACATTGATGTCTTCCTACCTAGTCCTTCTTAAGACTAGAAAAGCACACTTGCAACAGGATTTCCTTTGTGTGGCCTTGGAGAAGACACCGAGAAACAGACTAAAATCTCACTGTTTTAATGGGACAAGGTTGGCCCAAAACTGTTTTCAAATACCTCCAGCTAGTAAGGCTTCGCTGAGAGATATTTGTGTGGACTGGACAGAATATAAAACTTCAGGCAGTTTTCAGGGTTGTCTAAGCTTTCAGTCATATTGAGCTTTCTTTCACTTACACATCCAAGTAGAGATGTGTGGATGCTTGCCCACACTGAGAAGGTATTGAGACATTGCAGTTAGATGCCTGTTAAAATCCTGGGCATCAGGCTGAGAGAACATCCCATTCAGTACAGTGCTGCTTGACTTGCAAGCACAGGACCTGAGTTCAGTCCTCAACAACTAGCTGGCTAGCCACCGGCTACGGGCCTAGCATAATTGGTGAGCTGCAGGCCAACCAGAAACCCCCGTCTCAAAGAAGATGGACAGCATTCCTGATGATGACGCCTGAAGTTATCTTCTGACCCCCACACATACAAACTTGTACATACATGTGCACCTGCACATACACGAACACACACATATTTTAATATTTTTGAGAACTTCATACATAAGCATTACACCTATATCACTCCAATCCTCTCTATCCCCAACACACACACACACGCACACGCACATGCACATACACACACACTTTTTTCAAAAGTTAAAACAGATATCATAATAAAAGCAAAAGAATCTACTCACGACATACTAACCAGCAGTAACAAACAAGATTCCCAGGGCACTTCACTTGGCCGTTGATCACCACAAAGCGCTGGTCCTCTTTGTTGGCCACTGGCATTGCCATCTTAACAATGTCTCAAATAAGGCTGACTCCTACAGTAGCAGCCACAGCAGCGCTGCTGTTCTCAGCCTGCCCTGTGTTGGAGAAGCCCCGCCCAGAGCAGGGAGCAGGAGGGCAGCCTGAAGAGCCCGTGCTCTTGTGCAGATGGACATTTCCTGGGAAGCTTCCGTCTGGTGCTCACCTCTGGCTTCTAGTTCACATTCTAGAGTAAACAGGTTTTTATACTTCTACACTTAATAGGAAAGGAAATTAATTCAACTGCTTCCAAAAGCAAATCCAGCCTTAGGGAGTAAGTCCTGTCAGCCTCCACCTCCCAAGGCAAACCTGAGCTTTTCCTTTGAGCAGATGGGCCTTTGTGCAGAGTGTGGCAGTATGGTCCCCATGAACACCCCCATCTGTGTGGTGTGCGAAGCTCCTCTTGCTCCACAGCTGCGGCCACAGGCCAGCCTCTACTTGAAGGTGAGGAAGTGTGATTCTCTGGAAACGTGAATGAGATACACAGAAAGTAGGTCTGAGTAATTATGTGTCTGTCTTCAGCTGGCGGAATGGACTAATAATTGTAAACGAATGTCTTGTAGACAACCCCATTCTGATTCTTAGAAAGGCATACTGGCCCAAATATATAACTGCCAATAGGCTCTGTAAGGGAGAAGCCTATGCATATTCCCCCAAACAAACTGAGGATAAACTGCAATACAGCTAATTTAGATGATGCTTCACCTAAGTAAGTATTCAGACTTCAGAATTGTGGCTAATACTGACTTAGAGTTGTTCACTGAAAGTGGCTTCATGTTTTTGTTTGCTCACTCTGCTGATGGCTTCCTGTCTGTAGAAAAGAGTGGTTAGAACTGCTCGTCTCCTGGCATCTCCGTTGCAGCTTCTGCCTCTCCCTCCCTCTGTGCGGCAGCTTCTCAGGCTCTCTTCGTAGGGAACCCGTCCTCGCTACACACTGCCTGTCCTTTACAACTTTCTGAAACTTCAATGTGAGCTTTCACGACTCCTTCCTCATTGCATCTTTATGGCTGCAAAACCAGGCCCTTGGGAATGAGGACACTAACTCTGCTGCCATCTCCAGATAAACTGGCCCTGCTGCCACAGCTGTTGCCTCTGAGCTCCTTGGTGGCTGGACATGCAGAACACTGCCTAAGCAGTGATGCAGTTCTTTCCAATGAATTGGCATTTTACAAACTGCACCCTTCCATGCATGGGGTCTTGTCCTGGCATTTTACAAACTGCAGCCTTCCATGCATGGGGTCTTGTCCTGTAGGCACTTTCTGATGTTTCAGGGCAAAGTGCAAAATGTGAGGTTTCTCCATAATTGTACTAATCTTCTTAACAGTTCCAGCTTCCCACCCATCTCCTCCCTCCTCGTTTCTAGCTTTATCTAGTTCTGTCATCTCTATTTCTGCATTGCACCTTATCTTGTGAATTAACTTGGGAAACTGTGTTAATATTTTCTTCTGACAGTCACTTCTTCAAATTCTGTATAAGTCAGAACCTACAGAACAAACCCAAACTCCTAGTTAGCATAAAGTCTTGGGAGACAACAGACTTAGAAATCCACAGACTGAGCTTCTGCTGGTCTCGAGTCTTTCTCTTCACACTGTAGGCTATGATGGAGAGAGCCTGTTGCTGCCTGTTGGCTTTCCCCTGCCGAAGATGGGAACATAATCCTTGTAAAATTTCAAATTGACTTCCTCAAACCGAATGAATACTATTTTCCATTTGTTTGCTTGCTTGTAGTTCTGTCTCTTTTTAAACTGTGTTCAGTTGTCTGGCATAGTGGCAGACAATGATAACTTTTTTAAGTAATCCCCAAACCAATGTAGTACTCCTGACTAGGTGCTGACCTAGTTGATTACCACACAACTAGGAGTTGACCACCAGGACTGTGGGGCATCTCCACCCTGCCATTGCTCATTCTCTTTGTAATTCCCTGTTGTCAAGGAGAGGGTGATCTGTCGCACCTGTGGCACTGGGAATCCTGCTCATCTGAGATACTGTGTCACCTGTGAGGGGGCCCTGCCTCCAACACAAGAGGTGGGTGAATGCATGTGGATGTCCTATCTTTGGTGGTGGCTAAAAAGTTATTTGCTGAAGCCAGCTTTGACAGGTCAGGTACACTGAGGAAGAGGGCTGGAGTCAGAGAGAGGCTTTTCTCTGAGGGAGCAAAACTTAATTATCTAGGACCAGTAAAAAGGATGAAAACAAGCACACCTGCACATGTGCACGCACACACACACACACACACACGCACACACACACGCACACACACACACCCTTGGTAGATGAAGCAAGGCTCCAACAAGCTCCAACAACTTTATTTTTTCTCCCATGGCTTACATATTCCAGAAAAATGTTTAAGACATTATAAACATTACAATTTGGCTCCATCCTGTTTTTCTTCACGTGAACAATTACAAAGTGTATAAGTTAAAAAAAAACCCAGCATGTTCCCCAATACTCTTACATGATTAAATGTTTTACATATTACAGGTAAAAAAAATAAATTATTCCCAAGGACCCATGTACATTTATGGTTAAGTAACTTATTATAGGTTAACAAAGAATAGACAAGCAAGATATTCTTCAGCCAGTTCTCTTCCTGGCAGTCTGTAATTTGCAGTTACAAAGAAAGGATCAATAATTCTATTATTTATCTTAAAAAATACTCTTATAAAAATCTTAAGAGATTTTCGAATCACAAATCTAAACTTTTATATAAAAGTCAGTCACTTTTACTTTAAATCCTCAAGGTGCACATCTACTCATTAACAGCTTTATTAAATCATATCAGGAAGGAAAGGGGAAAGACGGGTACAAGTAATTAATCATCACCTCAATCGCCAGCCCAGCTTCAGGAAGAAAGTCGCATCAGCTAGTACTAGTCAGGCTGCTATTGCTCTTCTGCCCTGACCTCAAAACTCCCAGGCTCAACTATCAAGAGGGTGCCTTTCTGAACTGTAAATCTTTCCCCAAGATTTTCTACATCTGAGCCACTAACAAAAACATGTTAACTTCACTAACAGTCTCCGTCTCTAAGTTCTTTCTAAGGATGGTTGTTGAATCATTAATCTGCTCCAGCAGCAATACTTGGAAGAGATCAATCTCTATTATTGTAAGTGCCAACGACACTGCCCAGTGAGGGGCTGGACACCCCTTAGAGTTTTCCCACAACTCACAGATTATGAGGGATGAGACGACTGGGAGACCAACAAGCAGAGCCAAACTCCATAAGAACATGAAGTCCTTAGGACACATGGTCCTCTGGGCTCTGCCTCCCTGAGGCTCACCCATCTCGGTCATGCTAACCATTGGACCACATTCTGTGAGTTCTAAAGCTGCTGTCTTCCTTCTACACAGCCCCCAACAGTTGATGTTAGTAAGAGAAGTAAGACATACAGTGAGAGGAGAAATCCATTACGAAACACAAAATAGGACTGCAAGATGGCCCAGCAGATGAAAGTACTTGCCACAGAAGCTTGCCAACCTGAGTCCAATGGACTTGATAGTAGGAGAGAATTATCCCAAAATTACCCTCTGACCTCCACTGCAGACATGTTAATCTGTGGTAATTCTGATACCTGATCATAGGATAGCTTTCCATTTATTTCTGTCTTCAATTTCATTTTTTATACCAGTACAGGCATTATCATACATTGAACCCTATAATATCACTCCTTTCCAAGACATCATACAGGCTACCTTATGACATCACCTTTTACTGTCCATGGGGTCTGTGGTAAGATGCTTCTCTTTTATCTCGATAGTATAGGTGCCCTGTCCTGTCCTCCCATCAGGCCACAGATGTGTGAACTTTGTGATCTTTTTGAAGTCCTCACATTTTACATCCTGTTTTGGGGTTTTTGTTTTGTTTATTTTTTTCTTTTTATTGGATATCTTCTTTATTTACATTTCAAATGTTATCCCCTCACCAGGTCTCCTCTCCAGAAACCCCCTATACCATCCCCCCTACCCTTGCTTCTATGAGGGTGCTACCCCACCCACCCAACCTGGCATTCCCCTATACTGGGGGCATCCAACCCCCACAGGGCCAAGGGCTGCTTCTCCTACTGATGTTCAACAAGGCCATCCTCTGCCACAGATGCGGCCAGAGCCATGGGTCCTCCATGTGTACTCTTTGATTGGTGGTCCAGTCCCCGGAAGTTCTGGGGGGTCTGGCCAGTTGACACTGTTGCTCTCCCCACAGGGTTGCAAACCCTCAGCTCCTTCAGTCCCTCTCTAACTCCTCCATCAGGGACCCTGTGCTCAGTCCAATGGTTTTATTTTGCTTTTTATTATTTTCTTCTCTTTGCTTTGATTTTAATTTGATCCTCTTTTTTCAAATTTCTTTTTTACTATTTGCTCACTTGTTGAATTTTTTTTTTTTTTAGACAGGGTCTCACTGTATAACCCTGGCTGGCCTGGAACTCAGTATGTTGACCAAGCTCACAGGGATCTGTCTGCTTCAGCTTCCTGATTAAGTAAGGTGTATGTCACCATGTCTGAACTTTTTTTTTTCTTCACATTTTCAATTTAGGATGTATCCACACACATGCTCTGCTGGGTTTTCTGTTTGTTTGCTTTTGTTTTGGATTTGTTTTTTGTTTTTCTATTTCTTCTAGCAACTTTTGAAGAAGAAGTAGTAAATAATTAGATATAAACATTAAAAATGAAAAGTTTAAAGCGTCGATAAAAAAAATAGAAGAAAATCTGAGCATGTTAACAAGCCAGCAGTAGGGTGAGGCAGGAGAAGCATGAATTCCATGCCAGCCTTGGCTACACAGCAAGACTCAGGATCAGCAAGATGGAACAAGACACTCAAAACTTGTTTGCTATTTATTTACTTATTTCTTTGTATTTTTGTATTATTTACTTATAACATATATATGAGTCTTTGTCATCATGTATGTCTGTGCACCATGTGTATGCCTGGTGTCTTAAAAGGCCGGAAGATGGTATTGGATGTCTTTGGACTGGAGTTACAGATGGTTGGGAACTGGAAATTGAACTGGGGTCCTCTGGAAAGCAACCCTCTTAACCACTGAGCTGTCTCCTTAGCCCTTCACCAGTTGATTTTGGACAAAGATTCTAAGAACATAAAATGAGGAAAGGACAATTTCTTTAATAAATTGTGCTAAGAAAACCAGATCTCAGCCTCCAGAAGAATGGAACTGCCCCCTTTTCTTGTGTGTACAGCAGTCAATTAAAAATGAACTAAAGATTTGAAACCCAAGACTTGAAACTACAAAGCTACTAGAAGAAACAAAGGAAACCTCAGAACATTTTCTTTTCTTTTCTTTTCTTTTCTTTTCTTTTCTTTTCTTTTTGTTGTTGTTTTGTTTTTTGAGACAGGGTTTCTCTGTATAATCCTGGCTCTCCTGGAACTCACTCTGTAGACCAGACTGGCCTCAAACTCAGAAATCCGCCTGTCTCTGCCTCCCAAGTGCTGGGATTAAAGGCGTGCACCACCACTGCCCAGATCCTTCTTCTTCTTTTTTTTTTTTTTTAAAGATTTTTTATTATATGTGTGTGTGTGTGTGTGTGTACACTATCATTGTTACTGTCTTCAGGCACAGCAGAAGAGGGCATCACATCCCATTACAGATGGTTGTGAGCTACTATGTGGTTGCTGGGAATTAAGCTCAGGACCTCTGGGAGAGCAAGCAGTCAGTGCTCTTAACCTCTGAACTATCTCTCTAGCCCCCAGAACATTTTCTACTGATGACATTTCGGCTATGACCCTAAAATACAGTAACAAAGGTAGAAATAGACAAACAGGGCTGCATAAAAGGAAGACAAGTCTGCACAGCAAAGGAATCAGAAGGGTGGAAGAAGACACTCAAACTGCATTTCCCCAGGAGTTACCACCCCAATATTGACAGACTAAAACAACTCCACGACAAAAGGTGGCCAAAATGTGAACAAAGGACTCAAATAGATATTCTAAAAAGTGTTACAAACAGCCTATAGGCACTTGAAAAATGTTCAACACCACTAACCATCAGCTGGAGGCCAGGGAGGTGGTTCAGCAGGTAACAAAAACACTTGATGTGCAAGCTTCACAACCCAAGTTTGATCCCTGGATCCCAGGGTAGAAGAGCAAAACCAACTCCCAAAGTTGTCCTCTGACCTCCTTGTGCCCTCCATGGTAAGCATGTGTGAATGCACACACACACACACAAATAAACTAACTTTTAAAATGAGATATTGCTTCACTCCAGTTATAATAGCTTTTATCAAAAAGATAAAAATAACAAATGTTGATGAGTCTGTGGAAAAAGAAGAACGCTTATACACTATTGCTGGAAATGTAAATTAATATAAACATGTGTAAAACAGTCTGGTGATACCTCTAAAATTTAAAAATATATTATCATGTGATCCAGCAGTTTTACTACTACATATATACCCAAAGAAAATATCAGTGTGTCAACGAGATAGCTGCATCCCCTGATCATTGCAGCTCACAGTAGCCACTGCACAACAGCAACCTGACTTTACTAGGAAGGAACAGATAAAGAAAATGTGGCGTGCATACTGAGTAGAATACTATCCAGCCTTTAAAAGGAACTCCTTTCATCTGTAACATAGAGCCATTCTGTTCAGTGTGAAGTAAGCCAGGCACAGAGTCAGATACTGAATGATCTCATTTGCATTCATGATGTGAAGACATCATAAAAACAAAACAAATGAAAAACCCACAGAGACTGTTAGGTGACGGTTTCGGGAGACGTTGGTGGAAGATAGACTATGCTTCTGAAGATACAGTCAATAGTTCTTTTGTACATCATGATGACCAGTTAATTCTTTTCCCCTGTGTTATTGATCATCATTACTGTGTCTTTGAAACTTTCCAAGAGACAAAATGATGTTCTTACTATCTGACAAGGAGAAGTAAAGGAGGTGCTGCATATGACCAGTGAGAGAGATTTCACCATTGCACATATAATCTTTTTTTAGATTTTATTGTTTATGTGTTTGAGTATTTGCTGAATGCATGTGCAGCACATGCATGCAGTGCTTGCAGAAGCCAGAACAGGGCTATGGATCCCCTAGGTCTGCCTTGTGGGTGCTGAGCCCAGGTCCCCTGGAAGAGCAGTCAGTGCTTTTTACCTCAGCATTATCCCTCCAGCCCACTGTATAAATTATTCTTATTAATTAAAATTTGTTGAATGTTCCCATGTGGAGAAACCCCTCCACATGTGATTCAGATCCTAGTATTTGGATCGTGTATTTTTCTAGGCATATTAAAGTGGTAGTGAAAGAGTGCCATTCGATAGGTCAGATTCCCCCGACCTCATCCTTCCTACTATAGTTACACGTATGTATCCTGCACCTATGCATTGCACACCTCGTAAAGGTATCATAACCTCTGCCTTAAACAGTTCAAGAAAAGGAGGGGCAAAAAGAGTGCTTGTATTCAATTTAGTTTTCTGGTCCCCCTCACTCCCTCCCCTTTGCCCCCCACTCGGCATGTGTTGTGTGCTGTGCTCACAGCCCAAAGCTAAAGGCTAAGACCGGAACTAAATTTGCATAACTCTCCTCCCACGTGTGTACTTGTCCACTCTCCAGAGTCTTCATGCATCAGGAGCAGATTTTGTAGCTGTCCAGTCTTACGCCATTGCCATCTAAAGGAAAATCTGCAGGTTTAAAAAATTATCCCTGTTCCATAACTGAATTTTCAGAACCAACCGTGGAAATAGGCTAATGAGACTGGCAATATTAAGCAGAACATCCACACATTATTCCCAAATCAAATCTGTTGTAAATTGGGCGAATCTTGTATTTGTAGCTGCCTGGTAATGTGGGCTCATATTTTTAGTATTCTGTCATCATGAAATTGCATTGTCATTCTCCATGACACCTGAGGGAATGACAGTGAGGTTATGAAAGCATAACTGTAGAAAATGATGACACTCGTGGAAATCCTTCTTGGAGTGGACGTTCTGATAGAATCAAGTAGATTTCTCATCAAAAGATTTAAGTTTTGGCTGGAGATATCTCATTTGGTAAACTGTTTGCCTAGTATTCCAGGGGCTTTGTGTTTGAGTCCGATCACTACATAAACCATGTTTAAGGTCATTCTCAATTTGAAGCCACCATGGGACACATGAAACTCTGAGTGTGGGGTCACACTTCTATAATCCTAATGCTTGGAAAACTGAAACAGGAGGATTGTGAGCTTGAGGCTATCCTAGATTATAAGCACAAGAGCCTGAAGAAATAATGTAAGAGGATTTTCATCCCTTCCCTCTTCCCTCCTCCTATCCTTTTCCTTTGGTTTGCTGGACTTCTCATCAAAAGTAATACATACACATGTTAAGTCAATTATATTAACTGTCAGTGATATGATTCTTCCATTTATGGTTTTCATCTGTCAACAAAACTTTTTAGGAGCAATACAAATTTGTTTTTAAAAATTAGATTGATTTATTTTACTTTACATATATAAGTGTCTTCCCTGCATGCATGTGTATGCACCATGTGCATGTCTGATGACCATGGATGTCAGAAGAGATCATTGAATCCCCTGGAGCCGGAGATACAGATAATTGTGAGCTACATGTGGGTGAGAATCAAACCCTGGTCTTGCACAAAAGCAACTAGTGCTCTTAACTGCTAAAACATGGCTCCAGGGCCCCAAAGTTGAATGTTTTTAGAGATACATTTGCATCTGAATGGCTTATGAGGAGTTAGGTTTTAGAATGATAGTGTTTATAGAAATGGCAGAAAGTAGCAATGCATGTTCAATGTGATAGCTTCATGTCTTTGATAGCAACATTGATATGCTAGGGTATGATCATTTTTCTTTCCATAAAGCAACTTTAAAAGTCCACTGGGACTTTAATCTTTGTCTTAGTTAGTCTTTGTCCATTGCTGAGGAGAGACACCACGACCAAGGCAAGTATTATAAAGGACAACATTTAATTGGGGCTGGCTTACCTGTTCAGAGGTTCATTCCGTCCATTATCATCATGGTGGGAAGCATGGCAGTATGCAGGCAGACACAGTGCTGGAGGAGCTGAGAGTTCTAAATCTTATTCCAAATGCAAACAGAAGACTGCTAGGAGGAAAATCTCTTACATCCACTCCCACAGTGACACACTTCCTCCATCAAGGCCACGCCTCCTAATAGTTCGACACTTAGGCCAAGCATATTCAGACCTCCACAATTCTCAATAAAAATCTGAAGGCTTTGTATTTAGAACCCCACATTGGCAAAAAATCTCTGTCAACATTTAGTTTAGTGGCTCAGCAATTAGTAGCGTTCACTGCTCCTGCAGACAACCTGGTTTCCGTGTCAAGACCCACATGGTGGCTCATGACCATCCATAATTTCAGTTGCAGGGAATCCAGTACCCTCTTCTGATGTCCTCTGGCACAAGACATGTACATGGTACACATACATATATATAGAAAAATATACTCACATACATAAAATGAAAATAAATCTTATTCTTTTTAAAAAGAAAAATTAATATTAAGATAATTGAAATGTAAGATCTGAAGTAAAAGCTTCCAAAGAATTGTGCCTTTTGGATTATCCCAAAAAGCCTGTCTCTGATTGAACAGAAACTAGGTTAATGAACATAGAAATATTCCTTCCTCAGTTCCCCATCTTATGGACTGATAAGAACCATTTCTATAAAAAAAAAATTCTTCGTTTGGTTAACAAATACAGTTAAGTAAAGTGACTATCTTTGAGAGAAAATTGTCCTTAGAAAAATATTTTGTTGTTGTTGTCCATATATTTAATATTACATATGGAATATGCGGCAGTATATGTATTTGGGTATTAATTGGATTTGTTATTCATTGAATCAATAACTATTTGACACCTAGGTGCCAGGATCACTGGTATTGCATAAGTGGGATGGAATGTAGAATTAGGGTCTGTTTGTGTGCATAAGTCAGCACCTAGTAGAAAGCCTGCTTTCTTTCATACTCACTTGGCATTGAAGATCCCAAACCCACTGCAGACCTGTGAAGACACTGTTAAATGGACAGGACTGTGGAGTCTGGACAACAGGCTGTCAAATGAGACATAAGGTTGCAGACCAGTGCCTGCATCTAGTCACCAAACTGCCACTTTTACTATCATCCCCAGGGGGAAGCAAGAAGCTGTTACATTACACAATAGTGAGTAAGGACCAGGAGTCAAGGTTCTAACCCAGGTCTACCTAACAGTGTCAGAAATTCTCAAGAAACAACCATTTCCCTCTTCACAATAAAAGAATTCCTTGTGTTACTAGAATACTGGAGCCAGGGGCCAGAGACAGGAGCTGAGTCACGAAACTATACTTTCTTGGGAGATATGGCAATCTGGGAAGCCAGGGAACTAACATTCCACAGTCTGCCTTCTCCATTCCATCCCCAGCTGGCACACTTTACAGGGAATCTGAAGAAAGGCAGGGAATCATTGCAAAAGTTGTCTCTGGTCAGGCGGCAGCCTCGCCTCTGAGATTCATGGTGTTGGAGCTTCTCCCCACATTGCTTCCCTCACTACTGTCCCTGTGTAGTAAGGGTTCACATACTCCAGTGATAGAGTTTACATCCTTCCCAGAGAGCCACCTAGAAATGCCTGTGTTAAAGAGTAGCTCAAAACAAACAAGCTGTGAGCAGCTGGCCCTGTGTATATGCTGGACTACTTACTGTGTGGATCTGCAGGTCCTACAACATGGAGTATAAATGGGCTCTTATGTTTTTTTTAATTTTATGATTTATGTATATGCGTGTTTTATCTGCATGTATTTCTGTATGCCACTTGTGTGTCTTGTGTCCTCAGAGGTGAGAAGAAAGTCAGGTCCCCTAGAACTGGAGTTACAGACAGTTGCAAATTACTGAATGGGTGCAGGGAATCAAACCAAGATCCTCTGAAAGAGTGACATGTTCTCTTTAACTACTGAGTCATCTTTCCAGCCTCAAATGTGGGCTTACAAGTTAGAAGAAAAGTGGCTCTTTCCTTACCCCATTGTTTCCATGCCCAGAATAGAAAATAAAGCAACATTTCGTTAGGGCAAAGGGTAGAAGATAAGTTTCAGTCACAGCCCTGCATGGCTCAGCTTGGTTATCAGTAATGTTCCAGTAATCAACAGCTGGCTTGCTCAGCCTGAGATACCAGTGATATAGAGCAGTACAGACATACAGGAAGCACCATTTTTATCAACTTCCTGTGATTTCCAGGGAGGAATATTGTCTTAGTTACAGTTTCCATTGCTATGAATAGATACCATGACCAAGGCAACTCTTCTAAGACAACATTTAATTGGGGCTGACTTACACGTTCAGAGGTTTAGTCTATTATAGTCAAGGAGGGAGCATTCTTATGGACCAAGCATATTCAAACCACCACAAATATGAACTTTAAAAATGGTGAATGTGGCCAGGGAGTGGTGGCACACGCCTTTAATCCCAGCACTTGGGAGGCAGAGGCAGGCGGATCTCTGAGTTCGAGGCCAGCCTAGTCTACAGAGTGAGTTCCAGGACAGCCAGAGCTACACAGAGAAACCCTGTCTCAAAAAAACAAAAAAAAAAAAATGGTGAATGTGGGCTAGCCTTTGTCATACTCACCTTTAATCCCAGCACTTGGGAGGTAGAGGAAGGAGAATCTCTGTGAATTTGAGGCCAGCCTGGTCTATATAGCCAGGATTATATAGAAAGACTCTATCTCAAGCAAACAAACAAATAAACATAAATGAATCTTTTACTTCTTTTGTCCAAAAGGGGGGTTTGTAGTTCTAGTTTCTGTCATTTTTAGGCTTTATTCCTTTCTTTGGATGGAGTGGGGACTGGAGAATATAGTTCTGATTGCCTGTCAATGCTGCTTTGTTCAGCAGTGGCTGTACAATGGAGATGAAGTCCCTCATCCACCTACTCGAAATGGGGAGACCATTTCCTGCTCCAGATGTGGCTGCCAGAACCTCTGGGACGCATCATTCTGTGACTGGTGTGGAGCCATGGTAGGTACTTTAAGACTGAGCTCACCAGGTGGTGGTGGGGATACCTTTAATCCCAGAATCCAGGAGGCCAAAGCCGGCAGATCTCTGTGAGTGTGAGACTGGCCCGGTCTACAGAGGAGTTCCAGGACAGTCAGAGTTACATAGAGAAACCCTGTCTTGGAACAAGACAAGACAACCACACTAACAACAGAAAAGGCTGAGCCTTTTTGTGCTGGGCACCCAGTCCACCAAGGTCTCCCTATGACCTTTCAGGAAACACTTCCTATGGTTTCTGTAACAAGAATTTGGAGATAGTTTGAAAAACTAGTTTGAAAACTAGTTTGAAATTACTTCTTTGTTCTAGCCTAAGATTTAGATTCCTGCCTGAAATTACATCTTTGTTCTAGCCTTATGTCAGATTCCTGCCTGAAGCCCACTTCCTTATCTTTGGCCAATGTCAGATTCCTACCCAGCAGCCCATTTCCTTGTCCTTGGCCAATGCCAGATTCTTGCCAAGCAGCTCCAAAAGATCTCTGTCTTTCCCCCTTTTTTATTTTATAAACAAGACTGAGCATGTCTTAGGTCATTTGACAAGAATGCTTTCCTTACCCATTATGGAATGCATTATCAAAAGCAATGCATTTATGTCTTAGGTTGATAAGGCTTTGTGCAGAATCTTACCCGTCCTTGGCTTGCCAGTCTGTTAAATTAATAACTCTGTCTGGGGGCCCATTTTCAGTTTCAAGCCATGTACTTTGGCTGCCAACATGTTGATGTTGTTAAAGGCAAGCTTTAACACGATGGGCAGGAAGTATTCCTAGGACAAAAAGGGCTAGCATGCTCTAGCTATATATGCCTTTATTGAAGCTTGACCAAAATAGAAATACTGACCTCAGGCTATAGGTAATTTTATCAGCAGTATCTGCCACATCATTCACATTATGTATGTTTATCTGATATAGCATGTGAGTAATAAAAGGCTTAGGGTGATGGCTGTCTTCTTGTCGGCAGCAGCTCCTCTGCTCAGAAGCAATCCTGCCCTGAGAAACCAGGTGTTCCTTCAGTTCCCCAGTGGGCTGGAGCTTACTGACCCAGCCTATTCTCCTGGCAATGTACTGTGCTAGTTCCTCTCCATGCTTTTCTATAGTAGCTTTGCATTTCATTGTCTATAATATAGACTTTATGTGCACACATCATGGCTTATTTAGATGATATCCCCCATTGCTGAACACTAAGGTTGTTCCCAGTTGTTTCCTCTAGACTGCACTACCAGGCTGGAAATATGGCTCAGTGGGTGGGAGCATCTTCCACCAAGCCTGAAGTCCTGAATTCAATGTTTGCCATCCACATGGTAGAAAGAAACAACCAAGTCTCCGAAGTTGTCCCCTAACCTCCTCCAAGGCCCTGTAATACACACACACACACACACGCACACGCACACGCACACGCACACGCACACGCACGCACATGCACACGCACACGCACACGCACGTGCAAACATAAAATAAATTTAAGAAGTAATTTTTAAGTACCTATAATACTATAAAAGATAGCCTGTGATATGTTTCTTTAAGTGCTCGTCCACATGTAGAAGAAAGTCTAGAGGTAGAGCTGTTAGGTCAGTAGGTGGGAGCCTATGCGATTTTGATGGCTAGAAATTGTATGGTGTGAGAATAGTTCAAACGAATGAATTAAAACTCTAAAGTCATACATATATTTTCTGTTCTCTAGCTTGGCATTTCTGCTAGCCGCTCTGTCTGCCCAAAATGTGGGGCCAGCAATCACCTGACTGCCCGATTCTGTGGCACCTGTGGTATTTACGTGAAGTCCATAACACGATTTAGAATGAACAGCAGCTTGGCCATAGTTGCTGGGGGGCCTCGCCCATTTCCTGAGGTAAGAACTGCCGCTCAGGTGTATCTCTGAGTTTGTGTGCCCCGTGAATCAGCCCAGGAGAACAGAGCCAAAATATGTAGACCTTGCACATAGACTTTGAACTAGGCATGTAAATAAATTCAATTTAGGCTTTAAATGCTTGAATGATTTCTTCAGAAGTTACATATCTGTACAAGTTCAAATCTAGCCTAGAGTAGAAAGTAAAACCTTGTCTCCAAAAAACAAAAATCAAGAAACTAAAATTGCATTGTTCTGACAGAGATTCAGGTCTAACAGCCCGAGGCAGTGGATGTAGTGCCCCAGAAAGGAGTAACTTTCTCTGCATAGGGCAGAATGATCTCCTCTTGGATTTTTCCAGTAGCATTCCAAGAATCTTCCTCCCTGCTCTGCTGTATCTTAGAAAACTTATATCAAATGTGTAAGATTTTTCCCTGTCAGTAGCCTCTGGCTTGTCACTGAGCAGCACACACAGGGTCAACTGTTTTCCTGTTAGTTTTCACGGATTCTCTAAGCTGCACGATGCTTCAGCAGTCACCTTCTCTCTTCACTGATGGAAACTAAGAGACTGCGCATGCACTTGTGAGGGACAAATGCCTCTTAGCTCAGTCACACTTGTAGGGCCCTCTGGGGTCCATTCACACCATAGTTTAAGTGAAAAAAAAAAAGGTGTTCTTTCTTATACTGTTTGCCATCTGCTAATAATTGTTTGTAGTACATTCTTAGATATTTTCTCTTCTCTACCAGGAAATTTATCCTAACAAATACACAAACATACATTGGGTGCTATGTGAACGGTGCCTCTCTAAGATGTAGTGACATCAGACAGCCTACACAGCCTTCCATGGTGACTTTCTTAGATGCATCAAAGAAATTGGCTCTTAGCAGTTGAATGTGTTTGCATAGTAAAGACTATTCAACTGAATTATAGAACTGAGCAGGTAGAAGTCTTACAGGCCCCAGGCAGGATAGAAGCATCATTTGTTGACTGAACTGGGGACAATAAATGGCCAAGGGGAGTGGGCTACCTTCATGGATCAAGCTAAGTGTTGCTGGGAAAGACACAAGCCAGGAAGATGAAGCAATGGCAGAGAGAACACCGCCTACCATTACCGCCACCACCACTGCCGCTGCCACCACCACTACCCAGCAACAAAATTTTTAGTTCAAAGAAAGTTTTTTGGTGTTTTTATTCTGATTTAAATTATATTCTGACTGTAGATGAATTTAATGAAATTCTATTCTAATCTTTAAGTGTATTGTCTCCCTTGCTCATAGCCCCGATCTGCCTGGCAGCCCCTAAACGTCCCTTTGCCCACATCTGCCAATGGGTCCAAGAAGGACATGGGCACACAGACCTCTGGCCTGTTCTACCCGTCTGGCAAGCTCCTGGCAAAGAAGGAACTGGAGGCGGCTTCTCACAGGCAGAGGCAGGAGAAGATGAGTGACCACAGGCTGGTCCTCACAGCTGTCAGCCCAGGAAGAGGTGAGGGGAGGCGGTTGCTTCTGGTGGGAGAAAACCCTCTCTCTGACAGAACCTCCCATATTTTCTCCCTTTTAGGTTTATTTTTGTGTACTGGGAGTATGTTCCTTTTCCTTTGTTCAGGTCATTTTCTTTGTACAAACAGTAGCCTTTCCTTAAACTTTTACTCCTCCAGTACTTTTAACTCCTAGCCTGCTGTCTAGTCCATGAGTCTCATGACACATATAGGCCTCTGCGGAGTAGACAGGCTGAGACCGTGTCATCACCTGCCATTACGACTTTTTAGTGTTTAAAACTCACATCATATGAAGTTCACCATTTTAACTGTGCTTAAGCATGCAGTTGAATGACATCAAACACGTTAATAATGTTATGTAGCTGTCTTCATAGTCTGCAGGACACAGTCAGCACCCCAGGAGCAATCCTGTGCTGCTCTGATGGTCACCTTCCACATCCTTTCTCCCAAGTGCCAGGCTGCCTGACAGCCACTGATCTGCCTGTCTGTGGGCTCGCCTCCTCTTGACATTTCTCTGGCCCTTGTGACAGGCTCCCTTCACGTAGTGTCCCAGAGAGAGAGAGAGAGAGAGAGAGAGAGAGAGAGAGAGAGAGAGAGAGAGAGAGAGAGAGCGCGCTAGCTGCAGGGACAATGCGGAACATCTACGGGATCTGCAGCCTCACCCCCGAGCATGTTTCTAATGGCTCCTAGGAGTTTGGTTAAAGGCTCAATGTGTAGCTGCTGTCACAAGCAGTTTTTCTCACCTTCCTTTGAATCTTATGTTTTAGTTGAACTTTCCTCTTTGTTTTCACTCTTTGTTGAAGCTGGAGATTTTTAATAATTGATTATTTCAGGCCTGGGCTAGTTTCCCCTCCAGGCTTTTCACTGCTGTTTGCACATTATCTGTCTAGCAGCTAGCTCAATCTTTCTAGTGAACGTTAATTCACCCTGCAGTGTGAAAACTCAGATGCAGCTCACTGGGGAGCACACCTTTGGCCTGCATTCTGTCATCCTAGGAAGACGAGGGTTTTGAAGTTTTGGCAAGTATCTTAGTCAGGGTTTCTATTCCTTTACAAACATCATGACCAAGAAGTAAGTTGGGGAGGAAAGGGTTTATTCAGCTTACACTTCCACATTGCTGTTCATCACCAAAGGACGTCAGGACTGGAACTCAAGCAGGTCAGGAAGCAGGAGCTGATGCAGAAGTCATGGAGGGAAGTTACTTACTGGCTTGCTCAGCTTGCTTTCTTATAGAACCCAAGACCGCTAGCCCAGGGATGGCACCGCCCAAAAGGGCCCTCCCCCTCGATCACTAATTGAGAAAATGCCTTACAGCTGGATCTCATGGAGGCATTTCCTTAACTGAAGTTCCTTTCTCTGTGATAGCTCCAGCTTGTGTCAAGTTGACACAAAACCAGCCAGTACAGCAAGGCTCCCTGAGCACTCCCAGCCATTGAGCTAACATAGTTTGTTTCCACCATGTTGTAGGCCATCAATCCTTCCACAGACTGACCCAATTAAATGAGGGATCTTTTACAGTAGCATTTTCTTAGGCCAGTATTTGAATAATTTTCTGACTTCAAAAGAGCTCTTATTACCTGATTATTATCCTGGATTGATGTAAAGTGGCTGGCCTATGATTTAGGTGTTATCTGTAGTAAATTTATCAGCATTGTAACTGCCCCTGCTTCCTTCTTTGGTACTGAGCTGAAGGCCTTGTGCGTACGAGGCAAACACTCTACCACTGAGCTAAATACCCAGTGCCTTCAATTTGCCTCTTATTATCCTGTTTTAGAGTTTCATTGCTGTGAAGAAACACCATGACCAAAACAACTCTTATAAAGGAAAACATTTAATTGGGACTGGCTTACAGTTTCAGAAGTTTATTCCATTATCATCATGGTAGCAAGCATGGCAGTGTGCAGGAAGACATGGTGCTAGAGAAGGAGCTGGGAGCTCTATGTCTTGATCCACAGGCAGAAGGAGACTATGTGCCACACTGGGACAAGCTTGAGCACATACAACCTCTAAGCCCACCCACACAGTGACACATTTCCTCCAACAAGGCCACACCTCCTAATAATGCCACTCCATATGGACCAAACATTCAAAACACACAAGTCAATGGGGCCATACTTATTCAAACAACCACACATTCTCTCCATTGTTCCGAGCTTGAACTTTTCCACACTGACTACAATGAAGTCAGTTGCTTTGGGAAGAACTTCCAAACTCTGATTTCTGGCCTTCTTTCCCCCTTGGGCAGAATATGTTTTGGCATAGACAATGGTACTTTTCTCTCAGAATAACCCAAGGAATATAGCAATCATATATAGTTTTCTATTTCTACCTCTCTCAAAATGGACCTTTGATAAGTGAGTCAAGAACAGGTGATCTGGGTACCCAGTATCAACAATACATGACATCAGCATAGAGCCTCCATCCTGTGAGTAATGACTAGACAGGAAGAAGGAGAAGTCTGGCCGAGACTTAGGCTGTCATAAGCAGTTGTGGCAGGAGGAGAAATATGGAAGTCTTGTTTATTCTGAGGAGATAGTGAGGTGGAACTTAGAACTAAGATAGACAGGACTGTGTTCTGACTGTACTTACCTGGAAGCAGGGGCAGTTACAATGCTGGAGCAGAGTTTCCATCATATTAGGCAAGAGGAAGGGAGAGAGAGTGGATCATGATTCAGACTCTGAGTGTTCTGAGTTTCAATGCATTTTTTTTCATTACTTAATTTACTGATGTCTTTAGAAACACTTCCAGAAAATTTAAATTATTACTTTTAGGTTTATTTCTTTTACATGTGTGAGAGTTTTGCCTGCATATATGTATCTGCATTACGTGTATGCTTGGTGTCTGCCCATGGAGGTCAATGAAGACATCAGATCCCCTGAAACTAAAGTTAGAGATGATTGTGAGCCACCATGTAAGTACTAGGAATCAAACCTGTGTCCCCTGCCAGAGCACACACTCTATAATCACTGAGCAACCTCTCCAGCCTCTCACTGCTTTCTAAACTGGTTTCTCTGGGGAAAGGGAGTCAAGCTCCTCAGGTTTCCATAGGAAAGTTTCTGGAGTAGTGGGCACATTCTGTATGTTGATTAGGATGAATATAACTATCAAACCCATAGATTTAAGACATATGACTTATATGTAAGATAGAATTACACAAGAAGAAAGGGCTTGACATGCAGCAATCCATGAAATTTTGAAATGCTGTAACCTGTGATCGTTACATATAATATCTGGGATGGTTGTAGAATTTACTTTAGTATGTACTTGAGGTTCTATGTGGAAAATAAACACAGTTGGCCCAAGAAAATAACCTGAGAACATATCTTCCACACTTGCTTCTGTCCTTCTTAAATATGGAAGACGTATCCATGCTCGAGTCTCTCTCCTTTTTTAGGCTACTGGAGAAAGCAGTTGGACCACATCTCTGCTCACCTCAGGTCCTATGCTCAGAACAACCCTGAATTCCGGGCCTTGATTGCAGAGCCCAGGATGGGAAAGGTGGGTAAGATGAGGCTTCTGCTCAGAGCATCCCTGGGAACAGGCCTTCCTAAGACTTTGCTTGTTAAGTGTGCCTTCTCTTCCTTCTCTGTTTTTCACCCTTATCCTGGCTCTTCTGAGGAATATGGACATGAATATTAGAAAGTAGTGGTTTTTTAATGGCACAAGATCAAAGTTATTTTGTTTTGTGTTTCATTGCTTGGTTTTAACTCTGTAGATATTCATAGCAAGTCTTGCTTGATTACCAATGTAACTGCAGCCCAGAGAAGTTTGGCAAGCTGCTCTAAACTGCACTGCTGCATCTTGGGCATTTAGATTGTAATGAGCATGCAGATTTCAAGCCACATGCCTTTTCTTTGGCACAAAAGAGACAGTTCAGTGGAAGAACATTTCAGTTTGTCACAAACTAGAAGGCACCCTTTCAAATCAGACCTTCAGCTCCTCTGTCACAAGACCATCCCACACTGAACTCATCTTGTTTTCAAGGACTGCTCAGCTTCCTTGAATGAAATATTTTGATAGCTTATATATACTTCATCCTAATCTGGAGTTTAGCAAACTGTACCCTCCGGTTATTGGATCAGAGGTATCTCCATCCATTTGCATGTTAACTGTGGCTGTTTTAAGCTACAACAGCAAGGCTAAGCATTTGCTTTAGAGAAGTTATGCCTCACAAGACCTAAAAAAAAAACTTTACCATCTAATCTTCAAAAACATTAGCGGACCATGTTTAAAGTTGTTCAACAACTTACAGAAAAAGATGTTTAACTGTGAGCTCCTTTATTGCATGAAGAAATGCATCCCCACCCATTCACCAGGATACCATTTCAAAAGTGAAGGCATAGCCATATGGTTGACTGAAGGAAGTCTATTGTAGACAATATAAATTTGGATCTTGTTTCCTTATTCAGTCTGAGAGTCTGTGTCCTTGATTGAAATATTTTACTCATTTATAATTAGGATTACAGATCAGTTGGTTTGGGGTATGCTATTCTTTGTTTTCTATTTGTCTCACTTAGTTTATTTTCTTTGTTTCTCTATTTAACCTTTTTCTGTGATATTTTATTAAATACAGAGTTTGATATCTCAGAATTCCTAGATATTGAGCCCCACACCACAATTGAGAATGTCCTTAAATTTCTTTTTAAAGCTTATCTCTGCCACTGTCCATGAAGATGGCTATGAAGTTAGCATCAGGCTGAACTATATTCAAGTCTCAAACAAGGTACGTAATCCTTTACAAGTTATTCGTGATCTGATTGAACTGGTGAATTCTGGCTTACAGTTATCATAAATGCTTTCATGTAATGACTAGAAAGTAAAGTTTCAAATAGTAGGAAACTTGATGTCTTAGTTAGAGTTTTATTGCTGTGAAGAGACATCATGACCACAGCAACTGTTATAAAGGAGAACATTTCATTGGGGCTGGTTTACAGTTCAGAGATTTAGTCCATTATCATCATGACAGGAAGCATGGTGACATGCATGCAGACATAATACTGGAGAAGGAGTTAAGAGTTCTACATCAGGATCCATAGGCAGCAAGAAGTGACTGCCACGCTGGGTGTGGCTTGAGCATCTGAGACCTCAAAGCCCACACCCAGTGACCACTTCCCCCAACAAGACCATATCTCTTCCAAAAAGGCCACACCTCCTAATTGTGCCCCATCCCTATGGTTCTATGTGGGTCATTTTCTTTCAAACCACCACACATGACTTTCACAAGGAATTCCATAGGGTTATATAAATACTTGTGCTAACCATCAAAGAGGCCTGTTGTCTGGCACAGAAGGATTTGGTAGGAACTCGTCCTTGCTCTGGTACTCCTCTGGGACATTTAGAACTCATTGAAGTGATTATGTCTGGGATACATCAAACTTGGGAAAAGACTAGCAAAAATGTTTACTGGTATTCACCTTGACTTATTTGTTTTATACAAAATAAACCAGTTGGAAGGCTGAGGCATGAGGATATCAAGGTAAAGGCTGGAGTGAGTTCAGAACCATCTGGGACAACTTTGTGAGACACTGTCTCAAAACTAAAAGTAGAGAGTACCCCGGGGATATAACTTAGTAGTAGACTGGCTACCTACTGTGCCCGAGGTTCCAGGCCTCAGGCCTGTGAATAGGCAGGCACAGTATCACTCCTGAGGAGTAGGAGAGCAATGAACATTCTTTCTGTTGAGACATGGCAGCACCATCATTAGTAATGCTTGAAATGTTTTCATTGGCCAGAGCCTGTACTTCAACAAGTCGGTGAATCTCAGTGACCACTTTCTGAGCAGTATCAGCGAAGGTGGGAATGGGCTGTATGACAGCAGGTCCAGCTTAGGTGAGTTATACCCTTCTGTGAGCTTCCAGTAATTAGCCAAGGACAACTGGGCAAGGATTGTAAGACATATAAAATCTGAAACCAAGTCACAAAGCTCAACATGTTTCAAACAGTTTATTTCTCTGGCTTCTCTGCAGTTGGGGTGTGACTTTTAAAGCCCTTCATGGGGCTTGGGAAGTGTGTTTGCTTTAGCTGGAGAGGATGTACATGTGCTTTTCAACCTAAAAATTAAAATCCCTTCTATTCCCTCCCTCAGTCATTCTCCAGTTCCTGGATGGGGGTAGTCAATGTCTCCTCCTTCCAGGTTTAATAAAAAATTTCTAGGAAACCCATTTTGTCCTTGTGAATTTTGAGGGGCCTCCTTGCATGTGGAAAATGAGGCAGGGTCATTTGGTCTCCAAATCTTTGTCATTTCAGTGAGTGCCTACAGCCAGAGCATCTCAGACAACCCTGAAAGTGTCAAGAAGATGAAGAATCTTAAGGCCAAAAGCTTCCATGTAAACCCAGAGCCACTCACAGTAGGTGACCTTCTTGGTCTCTGTAGCCTTTCACTTTGATGTCTATTTGGACATTTTTTTTTTCAAATCGTAATTTTTACTCATTCACACAGGGGTTATAAACACAAAAAGGCAGGGCATGGGGAAGGGGATGACACTGGAGTGTGGATGTTCAGGGGGAATACAGATATCTTTCAGAACAGGGTATCAGCTGGATGAAGGTTGAGGAGACAGGTGGCTATGACTCTGCCTATGATTCACTTGTCCTTATCTAAGTTGGTATTATCTGCCAAGGCTACCTATTTACAAGGTCTATGACTACTCAGGCTGGTAAATTTCCACAAAAGTTGCCTGTTTACAATAGCTTATAGCCATCTGTTTCAATGTTTTTCCACTGAGACCCAAGACTTGGTGTTAGTATACATGAATGACAGGCCTATTGCTGATTTTAGGCCTATGGCTGATTTTAGGCCTTCAGTGTATAAGCAGGGCTGCCCCTGACATCTCCTCCCTTCTCTAAGTATAGAAGAGCTGTGGCAATTCTAATCTTGCGAAGGTGGGGATAGAGGCCTAACCTCCAGTACTTGAAGGGGACCTTGTAATGGCTCCGGTCCCCCTGTCGTTGTCCAGTGAGGCATGAGGGCCATACCCATCCCGATGTCTTTTTCCTGGAGAGGGGATACTTTTGACATCAACCCCTATGCAGTCAGGCTTGTCCCTCAGGGAACCCAGAGAGATATTTTTAACTTTTATTTATATTGCCTTGCAGTGCTTAGCCTCGCAGCCTAAGCAAGAATTCAGATTGCCAGTCAGAGGGGGTTCTGGGTGGCCCTTCTCTGCTTGGTCTAAGGGCGGAAGTCCCCTCTTTTAGGTTGGGTGGAGATGGGTTTTGGGAACACCCCGGATAGAGTAACAACCTCATCTTGAGTCTTGTGGTCCTTCATAGCTAACTTATGATAATGTATCTGAATAGGTTTTGCTGCCAAATTATTTATCTGTTGCTTCACAAAGTTAGTCAGCCTATTTGAGGCACAGGGACAAGAAGAAATAAGCAAAAATAACCCAATTAATGGTCCCAAGATGGGAGGAAGTAGGGTTGACAACCATGGAGAGGCTGAAAACCAATTCTTGTACCAGCACTCATCTTTCTCTTTCTTTCTCTGACTTTTCTCAGGGCCTTCTCTGACCTTTTTCATGCTCTCTTTAACCATCCCTGTCTTGTCTATGTAAAGACAACATTCTTCTTTAAGGGTTGTACACAGTCAAGAGCTGTACACAGCCTTTTCTATTGTAATAGAGTAAATCAAGTCCAATAAGGATCTTTGTGATTTTTGGAAGTCTCTTCAGACAGCGAAACGAGGGATTTCTTCAGATTAGTGATGTCACTCTCTAGCTGTTTGATATTCTTGTCAATGGCCCATCGAAGGTCTGAGTAGTATAAGTTCGAAGGCCAGCATCTGGATTAGAACTTCTAACAGCAGACATCATGGGTGATTCATTTTTACCTGAAAAGGAAAAAAATGGGAATTCTCAGGGAGATTTCTCTTCCCTGGATGTCAATTGTTATTCATCTTATTTATGGTTGGGCCTGGCTTTGTGGGGGTATCTATTTACTTCATTAATCTTTTTGGTAGCCAGTTAGCTGTGCCTTCTGTGATATCAAACAGGCATATCAATCCTCAGCCCCATAAGAGAACTGGGTCTGGGCCATTCCCTTTAAGGGTAAAAGGGTCCTTCCACATAGCTGTGGCATAGTTTTTATTGGCCTCAGTGATGCCAGAGGCAGTCAGCAGATTTGCCATGAGCTTTCAGTTTTAGAGAGTTAAAAGTGAACAAGGCATGATGGAAAGTATTTCAGGGGGACTCCTTCTGGGGGGTACCATTCCCCCTCTTTTGTTTTTAAAGCCAATTTTTCAGAGTTCTTATAAAATCAGGGCAGAAGCGCCAACAGCCGCTCCTTCCACACTCAGAGAGTCATGAAGACACTATTTAACGAAATATAAATCTATATTAATAATCTCTTATATCAAAGGACTGTTATAGCACAGCTGTCAACTAATCAGACTATATGATTTATCGATTAATAATAGCTTCTTCTACTTTTTGTGAGATTATTTCTCTTTTGTCAATTAATTTTTGAGGGAAGTTAGAATTTACATCTCTCTTGAGAATATTAAACAGAGACTTAAATTCTTTTGTGGAGAGCTTAAAATAAGATCTTAGCCAATTAGCATCTCCTAGAAACTTTTGAAAATAATTTGAAATAAGTAAACTCTGTCCTTTTTTTTAGGCCCTTTATCTGTTTTTTTTTAATTGGATATTTTACGTATTTACCTTTCAATGTTATCTCCTCTCCCATTCTCCCCCCCCCAAACCCCTTATCCCATACCCCCTCCTCCTATTTTTATGAGGGTACGCTCCAGACATCTTCCCAGTCCCATTTCCCTGCTCTCGAATTCCCCAACACTAGGGAATCCAAACTTTCAGGGACCATGGCCCTCTACTTCCATTGATGTCTGACAAGGCTACCCTCAGTTACCTATATAAGTGGAGACATGAGTCCCTCCCTTTGTGTTCTCAGGCTGGAGGTTTAGACTTTGGGAGCTCTGGTTGATTTTGATACTCCTTCTAAAAAGGACCAAAGCACCCACACTTTGGTCTTCCTTCTTCTTCTTGAGTTTCATGTGGTCTATACGTTGTATCTTAGGTATTGTGAGCTTTTGGGCTAATATCCACTTATCAGTGAGTGCACACCATGTATGTTCCTTTGAGATTGGGTTACCTCACTCAGGATGATATTTTCCAGCTCCATCCATTTGCCTAAGGATTTCATGAACTCATTGTTTTTAATAGCTGAGTAGTACTCCATTGTGTAAATGTATCACATTTTCTGCATCCATTCTTCTGTTGAAGGGCATCTGGGTTCTTTCCAACTTCTGGCTATTATAAATAAGGCTGCTATGAACATGGTGGAGCATGTGTCCCTGTTGTATGTTGAAACATCTTTTGGGTATATGCCCAGGAGTGGTATAGCTGGGTCCTCATGTAACACTATGTTCAATTTTCTGAGATACCGCTAGACTGCTTTCCATGGTGGTTGTACAAGCTTAAAATCCCACCAACAGTGGAGGAGTGTTATTTGGACATTTTGTAATAGAATGCTTTCTCATTGTCTCCTCCTCTTAAATAACTGTATCATTTATTTTGTGGAGGCATAATCCTTTAAAAATTCTCAGAATGGTAAACTAGAACTGTTTTAAACTAGTTTCATCAATTTCCTGGATCATCTGTTTTTTTCTGGGGTCAGTTCTGAGTGCTCATCTATCTCTGTTTTGTATTTGGTTTGGCTAAATACATGAAGATCCTTCATTGTCTAATCACTGAATAAATGAAGGGCTAGTTGGATCAATACTTGTGGCTGGCCTGGGCTGCCCAGTGTAAATGCTGAACATAAACAGGTGTATGAGTTGAAGTCCCTGTGTAGGTGGGTGGTTATAGATGGTTTTATTTGTTCCTGTTCTACTGCTATGGAGATATACCGTGAGCAAGGCAATTTATAAAAGTAAGAGTTTAATTAGGGGCTTGCTTAAAGTTTCAGAGGGCTAATTCATTATCATCCTGGCAGGAAGCATGGTGGCATACAGACAGACACTGGACTATTAGCTGAGAACTACATCCTGACCCACAGGCAGAGAGGGAGAACTGGACCCAGCATGGGCTTTTAAAACCTAAAAGCACACTCCCAGTGACACACTCACTTCAACAAAGCCACACCTCCTAACCCTTGCCAAACAGTTCCACTGACTGGGGACCAAGCATTTAAACATAGGAGCCTCTGGGGACCATTCATTCAAACCACCACAATGAGATTCCACAGAATTACTAGACAAGAGGTAGAAAAAACATTAGGGTCTCCTAGGCTGCCAATGTAGAAGGTCTTTCCTCTGGTGGCAAGGGTGTTAATGGTGTTATGTGCTCCTGTATGTTCGCTTGCTTGTTGCTTTGCTTTCATCTACTTTAGTTGTCTTGAGAATCCCTCAAAATCACTAGTTCATTGACAGTGGGCATTACTTCAGGATTTTCTAAAACTTTAAGGTTTTTTTCTTTAAATATATACCATGAATAATCCCAAAGGGTACTCTGTAGAAAGTATGAAGAAGGTGCCCCCACTGCCTCCCTCAGCTTGCCTTTCACTGGCCCTCGTTGGCTGCAGCACAGGGAACCATGAGGAGCGGCGAGCCAGATATGGAGATAGGCATATGTAGTGCATCCTTCCTCCCTGGGGCCAGCTAGGCTCTTGGGCTTCCACAGTGGGTGTGCACCAGCCTCCTTGCTTGCACCTCAACTGCTCTGAAGGCAGGGACTGGGGTTTTTGTTTTTTTCTTGGGTGCTTTGGTTTCGTTGTTGTTGTTTTGTCTGGCATTTGTTTTCTTTTGCATGCTGCTCCTGTAACATGGGCTTCACAGGCAATAGTAAATTTGGGGAATGTGATCGTTTATGATTGTTTGTGCTCTCCACCTTCCCTGAGTTTAAAATAGTAAGTATAGGTATAGAGTTCCTTAAAGTAGCAGCTGATCACTTTAGAGACACATCTCCTTAGTCTGTGTGTGACCCAGATCTGCTGCTGTGTGCCTTTACTTCTCATCTCTACTTACCAGCTCCAGCCAGGTATTTTGAGCATCCTCAGATGTGGCCCCAGAGCTCGTGAAGGTGATGTTCTAATACATTTTCCCATAAGGGACAGAATTAACTGTGACTGGTACCATACCCAAGACCCATGCTGGGGTTTCTCTGATTTGGATTCAGTACCTTGTTCTAAGAAAGTCATCAGCAAAGTGGCATGGCAAATGAGGGGTTATGTAGCCTGAACCCCTTATCTTCTGAAAGGCTGAGCAACCCAGAAAGGCAGGGGGATTAGGTTTTGTCAGCACTTTTACAAAGAGCAGGATCCAGTGACAGAAGTATACTAAAAGCAAAGTGTTTGTTTGGGCTGACTTCCTTCAGGCTCTCAGTATTTGAAATCCTTATATATAAAAAACGATGTTAAGCCGGGCGGTGGTGGCACACGCCTTTAATCCCAGCACTTGGGAGGCAGAGGCAGGCAGATTTCTGAGTTCAAGGCCAGCCTGGTCTATAGAGTGAGCTCCAGGAGAGCCAGAGCTATACAGAGAAACCCTGCCTCAAAAACAAAAACCCCGATGTTAAAGACATATAACAGTACATTTCATAGCATTTGAAAACATAAAAGAAATTCTTCATATGTCTATGGACAAATGTAAGTATTTTTTCTAAGAGATAGGCTCTGTTGGTTCCATTTCTGAGGTGTGTTTGTGATCTGTCATAGTGGCCTGGCCTTGAGCACTTTAGTAAGCCTGCAGAGTAGATTCTAGGTTTCACCTAGCTGCTCTTCCTAGAAATATTTATTACAAAGCTAGCAAAGTTTCCGGGGTCTTGTGAGGTCTCTCATGAATCTCCTTGTCCTTGATTGTATAAAATAATGTCAATGCATTGTCCTTACCCAAGCCAAGCTTGGGGGCTGAGCACAGGTTACACATGTTACAGTTACACAGAGATGTCAGTACTGCTGCACATGGAAGACTATGGACACCCAGAAACACTCAAGAGAAACACACACACACATACACTCCCTCCCTCTCTTAACATTCACCCATCCATGTGGTTCAATAGAGAATGTGGCTGCTAAGCTGGGAGAGGGAGGGAGGTTGGGGGATTGTGCCTTGAATGTTGGGGCTGGGACTCTACAACACAGATGCACATAGAAGATGAAGATGACCACATTCTGTCATCCCGCAGCCTGAAAACAAACTCCTGCTGGAGGAAGTTGGCTCCACAGGGAAAGGAAGACTGTCTGTGCTGGAACAGCTGCTGGATGAAGTGAGTGCCATCAGAACGGGCCTCTCTGCAGAGATCAGCCTGGTTTGTGCCTGCTGCCTGTTAACTAAACTCTGTATGCAAATGGGGTAAATGACGAGTGGAGAGCTTTACACTCACTGTTACTCTGCAATTTTTATAGCAAAGAATCATGTAGACAAGCACATGTGAATCCAAGTAACATCCATGAGGCTAGACAGAATCCCTGCTCTGTGGCCAAATTTATCTTCAACCTGCTTTCCTACCATGAAGAGGTGGCTCCTCCTGATGTGGGGAGAAGTCTTAAACATCTGGGGGCTTGTTCATTATAGCCATGTTCATGAGGTTCCTCATTCCCTTTCCTGTGACTTATACTCAACTCAGTGCCATCATCCCATTCTAGGACATTTGTTGTTCATGGTGGGATGGCAGATGGGCAATGTTGAAATCAGGGTTTTATGGCAAGTTTGTCCTTTTCCACGACCTACAGGGAGCAGACCCTAACTGCTGTGATAGTCAAGGTCGACCTGCTGTTATTGTGGCTGTTGTGAATAAACACTATGAAGCCATTCCAGTTCTCGCTCAGAGAGGAGCAGACATCGACCAGCAGTGGGGACCGTAAGTGAAACATTGAAAGGACAGTAGAGTACCCTGTTGTGACTAGGTATAGCGCACAGGGTTCTGTTGCAGTAGAATCAGTCCATACAAGTGCCCTGTTCAGCAGGAACCACTTAGAACTGCTTCAATCTGTTTCAGCCTCAGCAAAAGACTGAATAAGGTGTTTTCCAAAGCTAGTGTTTTAATTACTTTGTTATTCCTGTGGCTAAAAAGCCCAGATAGAAACAACTTACAGGAAAGGGGGCATAATTGGGCTTACGATTCTGGAAGGATATAGTCCAAGCCAGTAGCAGGCAGGAAGGTATGATGGCAGGAGCTCTCTGGTCATGTTGGATCCACACTCAGGAACAGGGAGTGGGGCAGAGCTATAAACTATCAAGATCCACCCCAGTGACCTTCCCTAGTGAATCTCTACCTCCTAAAGGTTCTACAGCCTTCTAGAACAGTGCCTCGGGGAACATTTCTTTAAATCATGACACTGAGTTTTTAAAAAATTAAATACTCAATTGGGTTGCCTGGCTTTTTAGTCTTTATAAGAGACAAATGCATTTGCTAACCTATTGGTTTTTACCTTTTGTGTATTTTTATATAGAAATGGCCAACCTAAAACTTGTTAATGTTAGCTAATCTGGCCTTGAATTTGCAATCCTTCTGCCTCTGCTTCCTGGGTGCTGGGATTATAGGTGTGTGCCACCACATCCAACATGAACTTGTATGAATCTAGCAAATCTTTAGCTCTTGGAATAGTGGACAAAGTTTTTTGTCATGATCCAAACTGTTAAGAACTTTACCAAGTAAAGCAAGACTTCATGAAAATACATCCATCAATTAATGCAGAAAGAAGGCATTGCATAGTTACCTGCAGGTGCCGACACCACCGGTGAGTAGCTGGCATGTGGGTTTATCACACAATCTCTTGGCTCCTTAGATTTCCCCATCTGAGGATGAAGAAGTCCTATGTAAAGTCATTCACTGTCCAACCTCAGAACAACCTTGACTCACAACCCAGTTCTTATCTGTGATTCGTTGTTTGCTTCCAAATTACTTTGGAGGATCCTAGACTATATATCATTTATGACAAGCTGTCACAGTAGAAATGTCTGAGGATGCTATGGCCATCCAGCCCTCTTGCTTCCTGGATTCTTAAAACAGACTAGTTCAAGGCCTGGCTTGGTGAGATGTGTTGTTGGGTATTTCTGGCTACCATGGAGAGGGGGAACAAAATTCCCATAGCTTTGGTTCTGTTATCTGTTTCAGTTTCTCTTGTGTTATTATTCAAAACATATTCTTTATGACTACTACTCATTTTGGTTTTCTTTCAAATTAATTATATGGACTCATATAATATGTCACTATACCTATTGGTACACACCTGTAGTCTCAGCACTTAGGAGGCCAAAACAGGAGGACCCTGAGTTTGAGGCTAGACAGGTCTATAATCACAAGAGCCTGTCTCAAAACACAGGAACTATATGGTTTTCTTTCTGAGAGAATTTTTATATTTCCCATAAGACACATATATGAATGAGAACATACTGCTCCCTTTCAGTTTTATTTTATAGCAGAATATTTGATACACATTATAAAACGTTGTTGACTTTCTTGAGTTTTCTGAAGGTTTATATTCACCATGCTACCACCCCCTTCATTTTCCACAGATTTGCCTTATTGTCTTGATCATGAAATGATGCTGTTTGGGGGGACGTAGATAAGGTCTCACTGTATAGCTCTGGCTGGCCTTGAATTCACAAAGATTCACCTACCTCTGCATCCTGAGTCCTGGGATCCAAGGTGCGCACTACAGTGTCCAGAGATGCTATTTGCTTTATAATATACTTTATATAATCCAAACAAACTTTTCATAGCACTTAAGCATGATGCCTTGTGCCTGATATGCAAGTCCCTTTTGAATGGTTCTTCAGTAAAATGAGTTCTGGATTCATGAACAGTCCAACTAAGAGTTTGAAACTAAACTATACATAGAACAAGTTGCCATTTTAATGTACTCTTCCTTAGGTTCCTTACATACTTCATCAGCACACCAGTGACATAAATGCACATGTGATACCATCTGATGGGTGAAACAGTGCCATTGCAGGTCTGCTGAGACCCAGGATCCAGGACTGAGACTGTGCCTGTCCATTTGACTACACAGTGCAATAGTCCCACTCCCACTGCATTATCAAGGTTGCCCTGAGAAGGGTTTATTTACATGAGTGGAAGACTTTTAGGGAAGAAAGCCAGACTAGATGACACTCCCTTAAATCAAACACAGATTTCATCTTCCTTTTTAATAGTTGCCAGTAAAGGAAAATAAACTTGACCCCAGAGAGTAAAATAGTGTTAAATCTACCTCAAATATATTTATCTAAAAAGTTTAGAATGAGCTGGGCATAGTCGAACATGCCTTTGATCCCAGCATTTGGGAGGCAGAGGCAGATGGATCTCTGTGAGTTCAAGGACAGCCTGGTCTACAGAGTGAGTTCAAGGACAGCCAGAATACATAGTGAATCCTATCTAGAAAAGGCAAACACAACAAAGAGTTTAAACCTTTCAGCATGGCCCAGTAGGCTCAAAGAACCATGTCCTGTTCCCTCCATCCTTCCACTCTCAGGCATCAGCCAAAGAGCTGACTTTTCTGTAGCAGAGAGGCTTGCCAAATTATTCTTTAGCAAACCAGAATTAGGGCCAGTAAGATGATTCAGAAGATAAAGGTACCTATCACCTAAACCCAAGGACCCATGTTTAATCCCTTCCCATTGTCCTGATAACACTAAAGATTTACCCAGAAATTTTTTTCCCACAAATAGGTTCAGAAATACAGCTCTTCACGAAGCAACTCTACTTGGCCTGGAAGGAAGGGAGAGCATCGCCACTTTACTGGGGTATGTTGAGAAAAACTGAGGGTACCAGTGACATCTCTACTGACATTTAGCGGTGTCAGAAAGGCCCTACCTTCTGAACTGTTACCCCTGCCAATGGAGGCCACTATCGCACAGTGAATGTTACCCTCATTGAACATGGTTATAGGACTTTGATGCAGTTGGGACAAATGACTAGGGCAGGCAATTGAATATTTGAAATCACACAGCCCCTTGAAAGGTCTCAAGGTTGTGTAAAAAGTATGATCATTATGTTCATATGTATATATTAATTAATGCTGGAAATTAACACAGTGAAATTATTCCTTAACCAACTTTTCCCTATATAACCACATAGAGACCTTTTAATATTTCAAACCCTTAGTTAGGCCTTAGCTGGGTAGACTCTCAACCAGCTCATCTAAATTAACCTGACCACCTAGCCCCATCCAGCCATGTGGCTAGCTATACCTTCCAGGCCTGTGATCATGTCTGTCTCCTCCCATGCCTCCTGGTGACATGAAAGGGCTTTTTTCCCTTCTTCTTCCTAGAGTTCCTTTCTCCCTCCCAGGAAGTCCCACCTTCCACTTTCTACCTAGCTAATTGGCCATCAGATTTTTATTAAAGGCAATCAGAGAATGTCTTAGGTAGGTGAGGAAAGACATAGACACATTTTCACATAGTGTACCCCAACAATGTAGAGTCTGAGAGTTGAAGCCATAGTGTCCTCTTAAGAACATTTATGGGGTACATTGGCTTCTAGGCGAGGAATAGTCAAGCTCTGAGGGTCATAAGCCTGAATGATTGTTTCTCCACTTCCTTCGCAGGTGCAATGCAAACACCCAAAAGAAGAACACAAGAGGCCAGACAGCATATGACATCGCTCTGGAGATGGGGGATGACCTCACCTCCTCACTTTTTGCCACCAAGTTCACCCAAGGTCTGGAGGACCAGCTTTCTCCACCTGGGAACCACATCGTAGGAGACAGTTCAATCTGAGGGATTCAGGAGGCTGCAAAGAGACTACCCAGATATAGATGTTCTTATTTTTGGAATGTGTATTTAAGTATAAGAATTAGGGTTGAAAAGAACTCATAAAACTTTGTGTGTGTGTGTGTGTGTGTGTGTGTGTGTGTGAGAGAGAGAGAGAGAGAGAGAGAGAGAGAGAGAGAGAGAGGGGTGAGGTCGTGTGTGTGTGTGTGTGTGTGAGAGAGAGAGAGAGAGAGAGAGTGGGTGTGTGTGTGTATAAGAGAGAGAAGAGAGATTGTGTGTAAGAGAGACAGAAGAGATTGTGTGTGTGAGGAAGGGATGGATGGAGAGAGAGAGAGAGAGAGAGAGAGAGAGAGAGAGAGAGAGAGA